CACTCATTAGGAAACCACTGAGGTTTGAAACATTTGGCAACAGTGAGTGAGTTTCGTGTAACGCCATTTCAAACAGGAGTTAGTCACGATATGGCTGAAATATTGCCGATGTTACTTTAAATATTAACTCACTCACTCAAACAGGAGTCCAGTTAAATCATGAGGTGTCCGCTGGTTACGGAAATAAAGCGACAAATCCCTTTCCATATCGAAAAGACATCTCTGCATAGAGCACAGTCGATTGTACTTTTCCGACTATATCATGAGCATGTGTTTATGAATTGCTATCAAATAGTGATGATATCAGATGTTCTCGAAAAGGTGAGCGTATCCTGCCCCACCGGTGGCACACGTCACAAACACATGCAATGGCAAGTCAACCGTTCACCTGAGAAAACACGGGAACATATGGCACAAGTCAAAATAGGGAATTGCATCGGACATCATGTTTGTCACTAATGCGTCACACTTGGAAACGTCCTTCACATGTCTACCATTAAACGTTTTGAAAGCTTTACTGAGGCCTTGAATGTAGCAACCGTGATCAACCAACTCCTGAACAAGGGTCGCATGATGATCTTTGAAATCTTATTAGAAAGTGCATGCTCGATTGCATCTCAAAAGTTGTGAAATGTAAACACCAAAAGTTAGAGCTGCAGGAATATTACTCGACGTGAAGGGAAAGTTGACCATTGAAAAGTTGATTTCATTCCTCTTATCTTGTGGAGAGTGTTTCGTCACTCTGAATCTTGATGGATAGATCTAAATTTAAACAGATGCGGCGGTCTCACCGGTATCTTTTGTTTCTAGTTCAGGTGGATAATTAAGAGGAAGGGAATTGGCTATTTGGTTGTTATTGAACAATATCAGATCATCGATATACTTAAGGCTTAAGATTAACTTCTTGGCCAAATAACCTTGTTTTCACTTAACCAATACGATTAGAAATTTCGATTCATATGCACCAAGAAACAGGTGAGCAGGAAGGGGACCGCAATTGCTTTTATTTTTCACAAATTGTCATGAACCTCTAAATTTAGACAGGTATCTGTGGTAACAAAAAACCCAGGGATCAAGGAATGAAGATTTTCCACGAGTTTGTCATGTGGACATGTGGAGTACAAAGTTGAAAAATCAAAAGATTTGACAGAATGGAACATAGTTCTTTTCTGAGATTGCAAAAAGTCAAGCAGATCCTTTTTGAGAATCCACATGGTATTAATTCCACTTGTCTTAAATACTTTCTGTGAATATAAAGACAATCCTTCTTTGATTGTGTTAAGGATAATGGTTAGTCTTTGAGACAGGGATTCGGTGGTTCATTTGCTTGTACAATGACATTGCTGTCTGGTGAAGGCACATTCGGGACAAAAAAAACCGGAAGTTCCAAAGGCCACCTAACAAAAATTGGTATGAATGTTACAGGTAAGAAAACGTGTCACCGTCAGGAAAGCTGTCAGTGAGATAGCATAGGTGACTGAATTTATGAATATCAACGTAATCAGAGGTTTCCTAAAAACGTTCGTCAGATATATTTCCGCAGGACGGCAAGCCTCTCAGGTCTACCTTGAGGTCTAGCTTCACGGTGTCACAGGAACAACAAAGTTCTCGTTCTGGGCTGATGTTTTATTGATGATGAGTCCTGCAATTATAACAAAATGACATGCTATATGGCTTGGTGGTCCGGCATGGCGTGTCTTGAGTTCCTAACACATGCTGACCATGTAGTTGTTATCAACTACTATATTATTGATATTCATTTCAATAATTAAACAGTCATCTCCTATATTATTGATATTCATTTCAATAATTAAACAGTCATCTACTATATTATTGATATTCATTTCAATAATTAATCAGTTATCTGGACTAATATAATTCACACAAGAATGAACCTATTTCAATAAAAAAAAAGATTAAAAGAGCATTCACACAACCCATTCAACATACCTGCAAGTATAACAAAATGACATGCTATATGGCTTGGTGGTCCGGCATGGTGTGTGCTGGGTTCCTAACACATGCAGTCTATATAGAGGACAGTCATGTGACCTGCCTCTACATCATTTGCAGGGACTGCATGTGCCAGGGCCCAGGATGTACCTGACAGACCACAGTTAAGGTGGCCTGTTCAAGCCAATATTAGATATGGAAACAAGTTGGTGACATAATTAACATATTAGTAAAACTTAACCTGCGACAACAGCATGAATGCAATTTGGATGAAGATTGAGCTGCGCTGCATTGTATACATCCACACAAATAACGTAGAGTGGACACCATTGTAGTACCTATGTATTACTTCTTTTGATGAGTTATTTTATTATTTAATAAAGCAGCAACTTCAGTCAATATCAGTAACCATGATGGACAAAGAATTTGACTTGATAAATACATGGTATTGCCTGAAACATGACATGCTTCCTCACACACTATGTATCAGATGCGGGCTGAACAGACATACGAATCCTTACCATGGCATCCTATGTATAAACGCTTCCTATCTGATACAGGTCTACCTCACACCAAGAAGAGGCCAGCTTCACAACATGAATGCACCATGGGACAAAGGTCGAGGTGTATTCTATTTATCAACATAAATGACAAAGAGCGGCCATCAATGTAATTACTTTTTGTGAGTTATTTTATTGTTATATACGTCAGTAACTTCTGTATTGAAGTACAACTTCTTGAACAGTGACGGTGATGGACAAAGAATTTAAACTTTAAATTTAAAGAAGTACATAGTATTGACTGAAATATATAACATGCACAATGGATCAGGTGCGGTCTCAACCGTCATACGAATTCAATACTTCCGACTTTAACCTACTTATTGTTTGAAGTGCTACTAAATTAGGGAAGACCTCACCGATGCTTTGTCTTCATCAGACAATGAAGCTATAGTGAACAGAGAACAGCATATAGGTCACCTTTGAAACATGATGTCTATTCTTTAAATAAATCCTAGACAAGAAACATTGCCCATTGTCTATCTGAAACTCACACCCTGGGGAAACTGTAACTGGTAATGTAGATGCAATATGTGGATGAATACAAGCAGACCTATGCGCACGCACGCACGCACGCACGCACGCACGATATAATATTTTGTTAGTTTGTTTGTTGTTTAAAGCCGCACTCAGCAATATTCCAACTATATGACGGCGGTCTGTAAATAATCGAGTCTGGAGTATCGATCCAAGCAAATGGGATACGATGAAATGCATCAACCAAGTCAGCGAGCCTGACCACCCAATCCCGTTAGTCGCCTCTTACGACAAGCATAGTCGTTTAAGAGCAATAATCTTGAACGCAACGTTTAAACCCATTTCACCACACTTTACCTTTGGTGTTTAAATTTCACAACTTTTGAGGTACAATCGAGCTTGTTCTTTCTATGAAGATTTCACAGAGCGTCAAACGACTCTCGCTTAAAGTTGTTTGATCACGGTTACAACATCCATGGCCACACTAAGGCTTTCAAGAGGTTTCGCGGTAGACACGTGGCGGACATTTTCAAATTTGACGAGTCAGTGACAAAATGATGTTAAATGCAATTCCCTAGTTTGACCAGTTTCAAGTGTTGCCGAATAACACTGGATTGTCGTGGCTCGATCGTAGCGCTACGAGTTATGTCCCTTCTATTGACCAATCAGATTCCACCTCGCATGTGAGTAGCATTTGCATCTAAACAAAATGGCGGCGCCTAGTTAAGACAAGCTGATCGATAATCAAAATCTATAATGTAAAACGGGCCTTACTTCGCGAAGAGCGTCCAATCAATTTAACAACTTGACTGAAAACATGAACAGATTTGGAAATATCTGTCGACGCTCAGTTGACGGTACAAATTCTTTGCAAATTATGCAGTCGATCGAAATCTGCACCTTGAAATCCATGTTGTTTATGAAACGGATGCTCATACTTCGTTGCACAATTCTGATTTGAATATGTATAGACTCGTTAGTCCAGCCAAACTGTAACTCAGAATTCCAGCGTAGATCGGCAGGTGTGGACACAGAACTTTTACAGCCAGTTAACTCTCTTGCCTCTGGAAGATACCATTATTATGTCCCCATGATTTGTTAAGTGAAAACTGGACTTGTCTTTGAATGTGTTTATGACGGGCGCCACCAGTGTGGCAGGATACGCTCACCTGTCTGCGAACACCTGGTATTATCACGATTTGATAATGATTCAACACATGCTTTCGATACATTCGCAATCGTACAATGGACTCTGCAGTTAGCAGAGATACCTTATGATTATGAATATATCGCATTAATGAGTCATGCTCCGCAACATTGATCACAATCATTTTATCACAATTCCAACTTCAGAGAAATCGAAAATAGAACAATTTAAAACAATCGCCTGAATCGCAAAACTCTCAACTCCATAACTTGCCTGATGGGTATACATCGTTTCATGAAGTTATCATGTACAGTTAATGAGGTACACTACACTACCTCCAACTACCTTGTTTACATATAAACCTTTTGAACACTTAAAAAATGATATAATAATTCACTGCATAAGCACAGATTTCGCCCAAGACAATTAGCTTCTTGAAACAATTGGATCTCGCTGGATTGCATCGAACTGAACATAGTAAATAGTTCGAAGATAAATCCATTGAAAAATGCTAGTTTTGATTATCTGATAGTCTTTTCTGAAATTCATTGAGGAATAATGTTATATCACAGATTTCTTTTTGTATCCAGACTAAAACCTATGTTGAATAAAATGCTCTTAATTGATGCAGCTAATGGACATGCATGTGATCATGACTGTGCAATCGTTTGTTTGAATATTTTTACAGTCATCGTGTATCAGGTTACAGACATTGAGCAGCTGAAGGAGAGGGGTTTCTCATTAACAATAGTATTAAATCTAGAAAGAGGTAGATACTATTCATTCTTACCGCTGCAGCCGGGGCCACAAAGAAATACATTGAGCTGTTCTTACATTGAATGGACATGCATGCGACTGTGCAATCCTTTGTTTGAATAATTTTACAGCTCCTTATGTATCAGGTTACAGAAATTGAGCAGCTGAAGGAGGGGTGTCACATTGACATAGTATTAAATCTAGAAAGAGGTAGATACTATTCATTCTAACCGCTGAGACTGGGGCCACAAACGAATATACTGAGCTGTTCTAACACAGAGCACCCAGAGGCGGATGGACAGTGCTAGTGCGCAGCCAATCACGGTGAGTAACAGCCTCATCTTACTTTATCAAGAAACGCATTTTGTGGCGCTGTTATCACATATGTGTGCAAAGACCAGAGCAGCGATAGATCTTCAACGCTAAAAGTTATTATTTTATTCTTCAAGGTAACTTTGGTACAGGTTCCCATCGCGAGTACCTCGTGTTGCAATTGCAGCTCTCTCCTATCCAAAGTACCCCGTGGTCAACCTATTATCTCGAGCTCTTCCACAGACCAGAGGTGAACATCGCCACACAATGACATGGTCTGTTGAAGGAACTGTATATTTTTATCCATTGTATTGTGGAAAAGAAACTTGTGAGTCGTCCTCAATAACCGTAGCTATTTAACACTCAGTTGACGTCGCACCATCATCAACTTAAAACACGTAAATACAGATTCCATTTATTGCAGAATAATGCATGCATAAATAAGTTTTGCCGTGTACTTTGTTTCCGAAATTATGAGACTTAGCCACATTGGAGATAACACATCAAGTACATAGTTTTAATAGCCAAGAGAATTTTCTTTGATGCCGGAAATTCGTGCACATGTAACTTCCCAATAAGGTAACTGGACACGTAGTCTTAAACTGACGTGGGTTTCCAAAACTAGAAAGGATGTCAGTAGAGCGAAAAGGTGGACGGTTCCTCTTTGGGTTAGCTGAGTGAGTGAGTATAGGTTTATGCCGCTTTTAGCAATATTTCAGCAATATCACGGCGGGGGACACCAGAAAGGGGCTTCACACATTGTACCCATGTCGGGAATCGAACCTGAGTTTATCTCACTCAGACACAGACATACTGAGCCAACCAGTACTTTTTTTTACCCCTTAATGCCGAGCCCCAGGCAGGGTAACAAGTACCATCTTTTTACGTCTTTTGGTATGACGCGGCCGGGAATCGAACCCACGACCTTCCGCTCTCTTGGAAGACCCACTATCCACTATCTATCCACAGATGCGGGCTAGGTTCTACAACACATTAGACCATTAGGTGCAAATGGCTATGAAAGCAAACAGACGACCATCCATGAATGGTCAACTTCTCGATATTGTTTGATTGTCATCTCTTTGTTGATAATTTGCATGTATCTGAATACCGTATTCAACGTAATAAGCGCCCCGCTCTAATAAGCGCCCACGGCGATATTTGGTAATATATTGGCAACTGAACAATCCCAATTACCACCCCTTCCGATTGATCAATGTACATAAGACTTATTTATTCGTGTATAATACACAACATGCTTACTATGCATACATAAAACTATCGTTTTTGAACTATTTAACCAGCTTATCATGTATCATGTTAGTCAGAAACATTGAGCAGCTGAAGGAGAAGGTTGCTCCAGAATCGCTCCTTGACAACCTGTAAAAAAAGAAGACTGGAACGAGGTAGATACTATTGTTCTGGTGGCGGCCTGCAAGTAAGTTTATTGATGATCTATATCTTGTTAGGTTCAACAAGGCAGAAAACGGATAATGCCAAAGGACAGCCGAATGACACCTCCAGACAGCCATCCATGGATGGTCTACATCTCGACACTGTTTGCATCCATTCTGGCCATGCTGATAGGATATAACCAGGCCATTATCTCGGGGGCCATGTTACTCCTTGTGGACAAGTTCCAAGTCGACACGTTGTGGCAGCAACTGATCGCAACATCCAATACAGCCGGATGTGCATTTGCACTTCTTCTGGCTGGGTACCCTGTCCAAAGATTTGGGAGGAAAAAGATGATCCTTGCTTCAAATATGTTGGCTTGTATTGGCGCCATCATATCAGCTGCAGCACCGACGAAAGAGGTGGTTCTTGTTGGGCGATTCGTGTCCGGAATTGGAGGAGGTAACTAACTACTGAATTGTTTTATCCAATTTTGACAAAGTGTTCTGTATGAAAACAGTTTTGTCTCACCCTGTGTACATATTTTTTGGTCAGAAGAACAGGAGCATATTTGTCTGATCTTATCAAAATCTTGACATGGTTAGCTATAGCCATTGAGCATTTCCCCTTCAGTTCTCTACATAGAAAAAGAACGAACAGGACAAGTGTAGATCTTCTATCTAATAGTAAACTCCGAATATCAAGAACAAAGAGATTGATCTTTTCTTGCGAAGCTTATGAAAATTGTGTTTGGTCCATTTATGAAAAACCTCATGTTATCATAAATGTTACAGCTCGAAATCATGCCACTGAAGACCATGCTATTGCAACAGCCTAAATAGGTATATAATGTTTTGTAGGAATATCTGTAGCAACAGTAATGCTATATGTTACAGGAGGTATATCCCTCGTCGTGCCAATGTACATATCTGAATGTGCCCCCGCGGACATCAGAGGACGCCTGGGATCTTTTACACAGTGTTTACTTACTGTTGGCATAGTCCTGTCATCAATCATAGCAGGTGCTTTCAGTGGAATAGGGGAATCGGGATGGCGGTGAGACCTTTTGCTCATGATTGAAATAATTTCATCCCAGTCACATGTATTCATATTTCGATGCATTTTTGCATAAATGAATTGTTCTCAACAGATGGATGTTCGCATGTCCCTGTGTGATTGACGTTGTGCACTTCGTGGGATTTCTCTTCCTCCCGGAAAGTCCCCGGTGGTATATGGACAGAGGAAGAGAGAAAGAAACAGAAGATGTCCTCAAACAATTGAGGAATAACCCGGATGAAATCGCCAAGGAACTCGAAGACATGAAGAGAACTGTAGCAGAAGGGAGGCGGCTGAAATTTGATAAAGGTAGGTTCATGATATGTGTCAATATTGTGATTCAGGCTAAATGTGATTTTATGACATCTGAACACCTATACTGCACTGATCTAATTTCATAATAATCTAAGTAAATATTATAGCCTACATGACATGCATATGCTATTTTGTTTATTTCTGTTTATATCTATTACAGTAATGGCCATGGTTCAAACGTAATAAATACAAAATGAATTTGTTACACAAATTTAGGCAATTCTAATTGCCAGGAGCTCCCGAAAACTTGCAGTCATATTCTACGCGATTTTATACAATTTGTGACTGTTATACTTCGATGCATGCACAATAAATGAAAAACAATGCTTAAGTGGTTAAAAGCTGTATTTAAAATCTGTAAATTTCCATAAAATCATATCTTAGTGCTTGCTACCTTTAAGCCCTCGGAATGCTTTGTAAATGTAAAGCTTTACGAGGTTGCATGATTAGAAAACACATTCGGATACAGTCTCTTTCGCGATCTGGTAAGCGACGCTCTTATTGGCTGTATGCAAGATCTTTCGGTCGCGACCTGTAATAGGATGTCCTCAGACCCATGTTGTAGCAGTAGCGAGCGCTAAGATCTGATTTTAATGAGATTGGAATCTTGGGGAATAACCGCCAAAAGTTAAACCGACTTTCCTCTGAGGGCATATCTATTACTAGAATGATAAAATTATGTGTTTCAGATTTGCGTGTGGTATTAACATGTCTTGCTAGGAAAGTTTATACGGTAACCAAAGTTTCATAAACTAGGTTGGCATTATTTCCACTAAAATAGTCAATAACCATCCTTTGTGGAATGCTATGCCGTCAGTTGATATCTCAACTGCCTGGTTAGCAGAAGATGGAGAAATACCAACTTCAAAAATGTATTATCAATGCGGTATCCATTCCGCAAAGTAGAATGCAGACATTTATTAAAAATGGGGAACAGAGAAAAAAGTATTCATATGCAATGTAAATTCCAGAAGAAAATAGGGTTTCAAATTAATTTTTGTCAGCAATCAGATTGCAACCTTTCCATTTACGAAAAAAATCACGAACGCCAAAAAGACCTGATGATTTGGTTTTATTTTTTCACAAACCATTTGCGATTACACTTTCCCAAACATATTCATGCATTTGTGATACAGGTGTTCTTTTTGTAAATATTGTTATTTCATTGTCAGTTTCTCAGACATGCACAATTTAATAGGCATGGAACTTGTCTAATCCATTTATGTCAAAGGTTAGGCTCTCATTTAAATTAATTTAAAAAAAATAGTTTTGATATCACACAGGATATCACACTTGGTATATAAAGTCAAAAGTCAAAGTCACCAGTTAAAGCAATCTCCCTAAGAAGTTTGTGCTTGCACTTTCTCAGAATATATTAATGAATTATTTACGGAAATAGTATATGTCAGTCTTTGGGCGTTCAGGTTTTCCTAATCATTGTTAGTGTCTGAGGCATATTTACCTCAATGGGCATGTGTGTGAATCTACACAAACCCTGGTGGCAAGTCTATTAAAGATAACCTTTGAGGTTATGCCTTCCTTTGCCAGTAACTGTTACAATCCCAAGACGTATTACTTGTTGGATCTTATAAAGTTGTCTTGATTAAATTCGACCCGTGAAGATTCCGGGGTAGAAAAGGTCTTCGGCAACCCATGCTTGCCGTAAACGGTGACTATGCTTGTCGTAAAAGCCGACTAACGGGATCGGGTGGTCAGGCTCGCTGACTTGGTTGATGCATGTCATCGATCCCAATTGCGTGGATCGATGCTCATGATATTAATCACTGGATTGTCTGGTCCAGACTCGATTATTTACAGACCGCCGTCATATAGCTGGAATATTGCTTAGTGCGGCGTTAAACAAAAAAAACAAACCAACCAAACCAATCTTGATTAAATTCTGGATGTTTACGTTGGAAGTACATGATGGTATGTTAAGACATCTGCAAAAATGGGATTGCAGGTCCGGCTTCGGTGTTATACGTACCGGCAGTTGTTTCTGATTCATGTGATCTAAATCTAACATGATCATGATGTGTGCCAATGCCACTATGTTTGGAATAGTAATGACTACATGTCTTTGTATGGTTGCATCTGCATCTTCATCTGCTAAACAGCTCACCAGTAAGAGTTAATAGTTAGAGACATGTTTGTATCATAAGTCTCTTTTTCTCCTTCATCAGAGGTTTCAAACGATACACACGCGGGCAATAGTCTCTATTTAATTCGATGACCCTGTAGTTGGAAACATATAGAGAATCTCACCCGAGTGTCTTTTGATATCAAATATATCAACACGAGCTGACAAAAGTGGAAAGATTCCGAGGCTTGCCGAGGATTTTTGCCACTTTTATCAACTCGTGTTGATATATTTCATATCAAAAGACACGAGGGTGAGATTTTATTTATCATCCAACATCATTCTTACAACTTTTTCAATTTGTAGACAGTAATTAGCAGTGTCTTCAGTGTAAAAAGTACTGCTAACAGCTTCAGTAGCAGAGCCATTAGTGATGTCATTTGATTGTGACGTCATGGTAACCAGTGACGTCACAATGGTCTGCAAAGCATTGTGATGTAATTTCATTGCAGCGATATCTACAGTGTGGATATCGCTTGATCTCATCCAAGCGATATCTCCTGTGGGAGCCAGTTTGGGATGATAAAATTCAATATCCAATTCCATTTTTTTTATTCCCATAGTTAGTTAACTTTTACTGCTGCACAGGACAAGGTTCCTCTGTCGTCGCTCGGGTGATCAAAACGCCCCCAGTCCGCAGAGCTCTGATACTTGCAATGGCCCTGGCTTCGATAACTCAGATCACAGGGGTGTCACCAATCATGTATGTATGCTTTTTGTAACTGGTACAACGTTTATTCACTTACGTCCGGACCTGTGAAGATTCCGGGGTAGAATAGGTCTTCAGGACCCATACTTGCCGTAAAAGGTGACTATGCTTGTCGTAAAAGGCGACTAACGGGATCGGGTGGTCAGGCTCGCTGACTTGGTTGATGCACGTCATCAATCCCAATTGCGTGGATCGATGCTCATGCTATTAATCACTGGATTGTCTGGTCCAGACTCGATTATTTACAGACCGCTGGAATATTGCTGAGTGCGGCGTTAAACAACAAACAAACCAAATCACTTACGTCCGTATGTATTTTTAAGTTGAAGGCATTGAACAGAAATCCAATTTAAGAATAAAATATGTCATTGGAAATTCACATCCTAAGAGAATCGCTTTTTGTAGATTCTACTCGGGGACTATACTCAAAAGAGCTGGATTCTCCGATGAGCTTGCGATATGGATGACGTCAATACCTAGTGCAATAATGGCTGCCTCAGCCTTCACTGCCACACTGTTAGTTGAGAGGCTAGGACGCAAACATCTGTTTCTTGGAGCCCAGATAGGTGAGCCAGTGAGAGAGTTTGGTTCAACGCCACTGTGATATGTAAATTGTCATTGATGTGAAGGGAAGCTTGCAGCGAACCAGATCAAAGTTGTTTACCACCTTTGTGAAATCCCTAACCTGCATGCTCTTCTACCCATGTCTAATCCACATGCATGGGCTCCCATGCCTGCATGCTCATCTACCCATGTCAAATCCACATGCATGGGCTCCCATGCCTGCATGCTCATCTACCCATGTCAAATCCACATGCTGTGGCTCCCAATCCTGCATGCTCATCTACCCATGTCAAATCCACATGCATGGGCTCCCAAGCCTGCATGCTCATCTACCCATGTCAAATCCACATGCATGGGCTCCCTACCCTGCATGCTCATCTACCCATGTCAAATCCACATGCATGGGCTCCCAAGCCTGCATGCTCATCTACCCATGTCAAATCCACATGCATGGGCTCCCAATCCTGCATGCTCATCTACCCACGTCAAATCCACATGCATGGGCTCCCACGCCTGCATGCTCTTCTACCCATGTCAAATCCACATGCATGGGCTCCAAAGCCTGCATGCTCATCTACCCATGTCAAATCCACATGCATGGGCTCCCTACCCTGCATGCTCATCTACCCATGTCAAATCCACATGCATGGGCTCCCAAGCCTGCATGCTCATCTACCCATGTCAAATCCACATGCATGGGCTCCCTACCCTGCATGCTCATCTACCCAAGTCAAATCCACATGCATGGGCTCCCAAGCCTGCATGCTCATCTACCCATGTCAAATCCACATGCATGGGCTCCCTACCCTGCATGCTCATCTACCCATGTCAAATCCACATGCTGTGGCTCCCTACCCTGCATGCTCTTCTACCCATGTCAAATCCACATGCATGGGCTCCCAAGCCTGCATGCTCATCTACCCATGTCAAATCCACATGCTGTGGCTCCCTACCCTGCATGCTCATCTACCCATGTCAAATCCACATGCATGGGCTCCCAAGCCTGCATGCTCATCTACCCATGTCAAATCCACATGCATGGGCTCCCAAGCCTGCATGCTCATCTACCCATGTCAAATCCACATGCTGTGGCTCCCTACCCTGCATGCTCATCTACCCATGTCAAATCCACATGCATGGGCTCCCAAGCCTTCATGCTCATCTACCCATGTCAAATCCACATGCATGGGCTCCCAATCCTGCATGCTCATCTACCCATGTCAAATCCACATGCATGGGCTCCCAAGCCTGCATGCTCATCTACCCATGTCAAATCCACATGCATGGGCTCCCTACCCTGCATGCTCATCTACCCATGTCAAATCCACATGCATGGGCTCCCAAGCCTGCATGCTCATCTACCCATGTCAAATCCACATGCATTGGCTCCCACGCCTGCATGCTCTTCTACCCATGTCAAATCCAAATGCATGGGCTCCAAAGCCTGCATGCTCATCTACCCATGTCAAATCCACATGCATGGGCTCCCACGCCTGCATGCTCATCTACCCATGTCAAATCCACATGCATGGGCTCCCAAGCCTGCATGCTCATCTACCCTTGTCAAATCCACATGCATTGGCTCCCACGCCTGCATGCTCATCTACCCATGTCAAATACACATGCATGGGCTCCCAATCCTGCATGCTCATCTACCCTTGTCAAATCCACATGCATGGGCTCCCACGCCTGCATGCTCATCTACCCATGTCAAATACACATGCATGGGCTCCCAATCCTGCATGCTCATCTACCCATGTCAAATCCACATGCATTGGCTCCCACGCCTGCATGCTCTTCTACCCATGTCAAATCCAAATGCATGGGCTCCAAAGCCTGCATGCTCATCTACCCATGTCAAATCCACATGCATGGGCTCCCACGCCTGCATGCTCATCTACCCATGTCAAATCCACATGCATGGGCTCCCAAGCCTGCATGCTCATCTACCCATGTCAAATCCACATGCATGGGCTCCCAAGCCTGCATGCTCATCTACCCATGTCAAATCCACATGCATGGGCTCCAAAGCCTGCATGCTCATCTACCCATGTCAAATACACATGCATGGGCTCCCAAGCCTTCATGCTCATCTACCCATGTCAAATCCACATGCATGGGTTCTCTACCCTGCATGCTCATCTACCCATGTCAAATCCACATGCATGGGCTCCCTACCCTGCATGCTCATCTACCCATGTCAAATCCACATGCATTGGCTCCAAAGCCTGCATGCTCATCTACCCATGTCAAATCCACATGCATGGGCTCCCTACCCTGCATGCTCATCTACCCATGTCAAATCCACATGCATGGGCTCCAAAGCCTGCATGCTCATCTACCCATGTCAAATCCACATGCATGGGCTCCCAAGCCTGCATGCTCTTCTACCCATGTCAAATCCACATGCTGTGGCTCCCAATCCTGCATGCTCATCTACCCATGTCAAATCCACATGCATGGGCTCCCAATCCTGCATGCTCATCTACCCATGTCAAATCCACATGCATGGGCTCCCTACCCTGCATGCTCATCTACCCATGTCAAATCCACATGCATGGGCTCCCACGCATGCATGCTCATCTACCCATGTCAAATCCACATGCATGGGCTCCCTACCCTGCATGCTCATCTACCCATGTCAAATCCACATGCATGGGCTCCAAAGCCTGCATGCTCATCTACCCATGTCAAATCCACATGCATGGGCTCCCAAGCCTGCATGCTCTTCTACCCATGTCAAATCCACATGCTGTGGCTCCCAATCCTGCATGCTCATCTACCCATGTCAAATCCACATGCATGGGCTCCCAATCCTGCATGCTCATCTACCCATGTCAAATCCACATGCATGGGCTCCAAAGCCTGCATGCTCATCTACCCATGTCAAATCCACATGCATGGGCTCCCTACCCTGCATGCTCATCTACCCATGTCAAATCCACATGCATGGGCTCCCAAGCCTGCATGCTCATCTACCCATGTCAAATCCACATGCATGGGCTCCCAAGCCTGCTTGCTCATCTACCCATGTCAAATCCACATGCATGGGCTCCCAAGCCTGCATGCTCTTCTACCCATGTCAAATCCACATGCATGGGCTCCCTACCCTGCATGCTCATCTACCCATGTCAAATCCACATGCATGGGCTCCCAAGCCTGCATGCTCATCTACCCATGTCAAATCCACATGCTGTGGCTCCCAAGCCTGCATGCTCATCTACCCATGTCAAATCCACATGCATGGGCTCCCAATCCTGCATGCTCATCTACCCATGTCAAATCCACATGCATGGGCTCCCAAGCCTGCATGCTCATCTACCCATGTCAAATCCACATGCTGTGGCTCCCAAGCCTGCATGCTCATCTACCCATGTCAAATCCACATGCATGGGCTCCCTACCCTGCATGCTCATCTACCCATGTCAAATCCACATGCATGGGCTCCCAAGCCTGCATGCTCATCTACCCATGTCAAATCCACATGCATGGGCTCCCAAGCCTGCATGCTCATCTACCCATGTCAAATCCACATGCATTGGCTCCCTACCCTGCATGCTCATCTACCCATGTCAAATCCACATGCTGTGGCTCCCAAGCCTGCATGCTCATCTACCCATGTCAAATCCACATGCATGGGCTCCCAAGCCTGCATGCTCATCTACCCATGTCAAATCCACATGCATGGGCTCCCTACCCTGCATGCTCCTCTACCCATGTCAAATCCACATGCATGGGCTCCCAAGCCTGCATGCTCATCTACCCATGTCAAATCCACATGCATGGGCTCCCTACCCTGCATGCTCATCTACCCATGTCAAATCCACATGCATGGGCTCCCAATCCTGCATGCTCATCTACCCATGTCAAATCCACATGCATGGGCTCCCAAGCCTGCATGCTCATCTACCCATGTCAAATCCACATGCTGTGGCTCCCAAGCCTGCATGCTCATCTACCCATGTCAAATCCACATGCATGGGCTCCCAATCCTGCATGCTCATCTACCCATGTCAAATCCACATGCATGGGCTCCCAAGCCTGCATGCTCATCTACCCATGTCAAATCCACATGCTGTGGCTCCCAAGCCTGCATGCTCATCTACCCATGTCAAATCCACATGCATGGGCTCCCTACCCTGCATGCTCTTCTACCCATGTCAAATCCACATGCATGGGCTCCCAAGCCTGCATGCTCATCTACCCATGTCAAATCCACATGCATGGGCTCCCAAGCCTGCATGCTCATCTACCCATGTCAAATCCACATGCATGGGCTCCCAAGCCTGCATGCTCATCTACCCATGTCAAATCCACATGCATTGGCTCCCTACCCTGCATGCTCATCTACCCATGTCAAATCCACATGCATGGGCTCCCAAGCCTGCATGCTCATCTACCCATGTCAAATCCACATGCATGGGCTCCCAAGCCTGCATGCTCATCTACCCATGTCAAATCCACATGCATGGGCTCCCTACCCTGCATGCTCCTCTACCCATGTCAAATCCACATGCATGGGCTCCCAAGCCTGCATGCTCATCTACCCATGTCAAATCCACATGCTGTGGCTCCCAAGCCTGCATGCTCTTCTACCCATGTCAAATCCACATGCATGGGCTCCCTACCCTGCATGCTCTTCTACCCATGTCAAATCCACATGCATGGGCTCCCTACCCTGCATGCTCATCTACCCATGTCAAATCCACATGCATGGGCTCCCAAGCCTGCATGCTCATCTACCCATGTCAAATCCACATGCATGGGCTCCCTACCCTGCATGCTCATCTACCCATGTCAAATCCACATGCATGGGCTCCCTACCCTGCATGCTCATCTACCCATGTCAAATCCACATGCATGGGCTCCCAAGCCTGCATGCTCATCTACCCATGTCAAATCCACATGCTGTGGCTCCCAAGCCTGCATGCTCATCTACCCATGTCAAATCCACATGCATGGGCTCCCAAGCCTGCATGCTCATCTACCCATGTCAAATCCACATGCATGGGCTCCCAAGCCTGCATGCTCATCTACCCATGTCAAATCCACATGCTGTGGCTCCCAAGCCTGCATGCTCATCTACCCATGTCAAATCCACATGCATGGGCTCCCAAGCCTGCATGCTCATCTACCCATGTCAAATCCACATGCTGTGGCTCCCAAGCCTGCATGCTCATCTACCCATGTCAAATCCACATGCATGGGCTCCCTACCCTGCATGCTCATCTACCCATGTCAAATCCACATGCATGGGCTCCCAAGCCTGCATGTTCATCTACCCATGTCAAATCCACATGCATGGGCTCCCTACCCTGCATGCTCATCTACCCATGTCAAATCCACATGCATGGGCTCCCAAGCCTGCATGCTCATCTACCCATGTCAAATCCACATGCATGGGCTCCCTACCCTGCATGCTCCTCTACCCATGTCAAATCCACATGCATGGGCTCCCAAGCCTGCATGCTCATCTACCCATGTCAAATCCACATGCATGGGCTCCCTACCCTGCATGCTCATCTACCCATGTCAAATCCACATGCATGGGCTCCCAAGCCTGCATGCTCATCTACCCATGTCAAATCCACATGCATGGGCTCCCAAGCCTGCATGCTCATCTACCCATGTCAAATCCACATGCATTGGCTCCCTACCCTGCATGCTCATCTACCCATGTCAAATCCACATGCTGTGGCTCCCAATCCTGCATGCTCATCTACCCATGTCAAATCCACATGCATGGGCTCCCAAGCCTGCATGCTCATCTACCCATGTCAAATCCACATGCATGGGCTCCCAAGCCTGCATGCTCATCTACCCATGTCAAATCCACATGCATGGGCTCCAAAGCCTGCATGCTCATCTACCCATGTCAAATCCACATGCATTGGCTCCCTACCCTGCATGCTCATCTACCCATGTCAAATCCACATGCTGTGGCTCCCAATCCTGCATGCTCATCTACCCATGTCAAATCCACATGCATGGGCTCCCAAGCCTGCATGCTCATCTACCCATGTCAAATCCACATGCATGGGCTCCAAAGCCTGCATGCTCATCTACCCATGTCAAATCCACATGCATGGGCTCCCAAGCCTGCATGCTCATCTACCCATGTCAAATCCACATGCATGGGCTCCCAAGCCTGCATGCTCATCTACCCATGTCAAATCCACATGCATGGGCTCCCAAGCCTGCATGCTCATCTACCCATGTCAAATCCACATGCATTGGCTCCCTACCCTGCATGCTCATCTACCCATGTCAAATCCACATGCTGTGGCTCCCAATCCTGCATGCTCATCTACCCATGTCAAATCCACATGCATTGGCTCCCAAGCCTGCATGCTCATCTACCCATGTCAAATCCACATGCTGTGGCTCCCAATCCTGCATGCTCATCTACCCATGTCAAATCCACATGCATGGGCTCCCAAGCCTGCATGCTCATCTACCCATGTCAAATCCACATGCATGGGCTCCCAAGCCTGCATGCTCATCTACCCATGTCAAATCCACATGCATGGGCTCCCAAGCCTGCATGCTCATCTACCCATGTCAAATCCACATGCATGGGCTCCCAAGCCTGCATGCTCATCTACCCATGTCAAATCCACATGCATGGGCTCCCAAGCCTGCATGCTCTTCTACCCATGTCAAATCCACATGCATGGGCTCCCAAGCCTGCATGTTCATCTACCCATGTCAAATCCACATGCATGGGCTCCCAAGCCTGCATGCTCATCTACCCATGTCAAATCCACATGCATGGGCTCCCAAGCCTGCATGCTCATCTACCCATGTCAAATCCACATGCATGGGCTCCCAATCCTGCATGTTCATCTACCCACGTCAAATCCACATGCATGGGCTCCCACGCCTGCATGCTCTTCTACCCATGTCAAATCCACATGCATGGGCTCCAAAGCCTGCATGCTCATCTACCCATGTCAAATCCACATGCATGGGCTCCCAAGCCTGCATGCTCATCTACCCATGTCAAATCCACATGCATGGGCTCCAAAGCCTGCATGTTCATCTACCCATGTCAAATCCACATGCATGGGCTCCCAAGCCTGCATGTTCATCTACCCATGTCAAATCCACATGCATGGGCTCCCAAGCCTGCATGCTCATCTACCCATGTCAAATCCACATGCATGGGCTCCCAAGCCTGCATGCTCATCTACCCATGTCAAATCCACATGCATGGGCTCCCAAGCCTGCATGCTCATCTACCCATGTCAAATACACATGCATGGGCTCCCAAGCCTTCATGCTCATCTACCCATGTCAAATCCACATGCATGGGTTCTCTACCCTGCATGCTCATCTACCCATGTCAAATCCACATGCATGGGCTCCCAATCCTGCATGCTCATCTACCCACGTCAAATCCACATGCATGGGCTCCCACGCCTGCATGCTCTTCTACCCATGTCAAATCCACATGCATGGGCTCCAAAGCCTGCATGCTCATCTACCCATGTCAAATCCACATGCATGGGTTCTCTACCCTGCATGCTCATCTACCCATGTCAAATCCACATGCATGGGCTCCCAATCCTGCATGCTCATCTACCCACGTCAAATCCACATGCATGGGCTCCCACGCCTGCATGCTCTTCTACCCATGTCAAATCCACATGCATGGGCTCCCACGCCTGCATGCTCTTCTACCCATGTCAAATCCACATGCATGGGCTCCAAAGCCTGCATGCTCATCTACCCATGTCAAATCCACATGCATGGGCTCCCAAGCCTGCATGCTCATCTACCCATGTCAAATCCACATGCATTGGCTCTCTACCCTGCATGCTCATCTACCCATGTCAAATCCACATGCATGGGCTCCAAAGCCTGCATGCTCATCTACCCATGTCAAATCCACATGCATGGGCTCCCAAGCCTGCATGCTCATCTACCCATGTCAAATCCACATGCATGGGCTCCCAAGCCTGCATGCTCATCTACCCATGTCAAATCCACATGCATGGGCTCCCAATCCTGCATGCTCATCTACCCATGTCAAATCCACATGCATGGGCTCCCAATCCTGCATGCTCATCTACCCATGTCAAATCCACATGCATGGGCTCCCAAGCCTGCATGCTCATCTACCCATGTCAAATCCACATGCATTGGCTCCCTACCCTGCATGCTCATCTACCCATGTCAAATCCACATGCATGGGCTCCCAAGCCTGCATGCTCATCTACCCATGTCAAATCCACATGCTGTGGCTCCCAAGCCTGCATGCTCATCTACCCATGTCAAATCCACATGCATGGGCTCCCAAGCCTGCATGCTCATCTACCCATGTCAAATCCACATGCATGGGCTCCAAAGCCTGCATGCTCATCTACCCATGTCAAATCCACATGCATGGGCTCCAAAGCCTGCATGCTCATCTACCCATGTCAAATCCACATGCATAGGCTCATTTCATCTTAAGTATCTCTTTGTTATATATTCTTGTATATTGCATCACTTGTCTTTAATGTGTTGTCAACTTTATATGTCTACATAAGCCAAGTAATGAGTTGTTTTGCACAATAATGCAACACCCCTTGGTTATCGTATATTCCTTGAACTGGTGAGAGGTATTAACTGATTTGCCGCCGTGAAGATATGAGAGTGTGGAATGAAATATTTACTTATTTTGCGGCACCTGATATGTGAATAGTTTTTATTTTCTATTGTCACCAGGACAGCTGATTGCCTTGATTGTTCTTGGACTTGGCTTCTTTCTCTCCGCGAGTCATTCTCCCGTCGTTAGTGATGACATTCAGAGAACCATCAATAATGCTACAACCACACCCATGTGTAATTTCAGGTAATAAGGTCAATTCAAGTTTGCAGATGTAACAAAACGAAGTTGCAGATGTTTAGAAAATATTTAAAAAATTCTGTGACCGTCGATTGTCACGTAGTCCTCCTTTAAGAAATTATCCCTTTTTCGGAATGTTCTTTCTCACTCGCTATGTTTCATGTTTAACAAAGGGGGCATGGGTGGCCCAGTCGTCTAAGGCGCCGCGATTCGCTGTGCAGAGTTGCGTCCCTTGGGCACGCCAGAAACCTATGATTGTGGGTTCGAATCCCGGTTCACCCCGATTATGTTTCTGGGTTTGTCAGCACCATACCCGTGCTCGTGGGTTTCACCGAAGTGGTAAACGTCTGAGACCTGCATCACTTCGGGCTTTCCTCCCACAATAAGCTGACACGCCACGATATAACTGGAATACTGTTAAAAGCGGCGTTTAAACCAACTCACTCACTCACTCACTCATGTTTAACAATAAATATGCACTTGCATAAAAACATAATAACATAGTTTCACGTTAATTAATACATTCCTTCATAGACATTCATGCAAACGTTGTGGCTGTTGGAGAAGCACAACAAACAGACAAACAAACTGTTTGCAGCTGAACAATAAAAGTAAGACAGTATATCATTTTCTCTGAAGTCAAAAGACCAAAAGCCTATACATGTTACTGAATATACCAATATCTTTTTTTGTCACCTCAATAAAGATAATACAACACTTTTCTGAGCCTAATACACTGAAACTTGTCATTGATGAGAGCTAAGTTAGCTTGTACTGAGTGCATGCATTATACATTAGACAATCATACATATACACTTTACATATACATATACACCGCAAGATACTGAGACATATATAATATATATATATATATATATATATATATATATATTTAATTGAAACTTATTTAATTTCAAGTCCATGACAACTGACGATATGTTCATACAAATTGTAGTAGTGACCATTGCCTTTTGATCTTAATAATAATAAAAGACGGACCACAATAGGTACAGGCCATCACAAAAGATATTCGTTACTTTTATCTTTTGAAATGAATTAACAAGGTGTGAGGTACATGCCTCAAATGATGTCTCTTCTCTGGCAGAACATGTGAGCAATGCATCGATTCTTCACAATGCGGCTTCTGCTACGACGTCCTCTCAAGAGCCTCGTGTGTCCCCGTGTCGGTAAACGGCAGTGCTACAACAGGGAGATGTTCTTCCGCCAGCTCTTTTAACAGCTCCGACTTTACCCTGGTGACGCAAGCTTGTCCCAGTGACTATAAATGGTTCCCTGTGATTGGCTCCTCCCTTTACCTGGCTGTATTTGGCGGTGGTAAGGAATGGACATACTATCATCTAACATTCTTTCGCATCCACGTCTCTTATTGTGACTAAAATGTTTGTTTGTTGGTTGGTTGTTTCCCGCCGCCCTCAGCAATATTCAAGCTATACTGGCGGTCTGTAAATAATCGAGTCTGGACCAGACAATCCAGAGATAGACCTCATGAGCATCGAACCGCGCAATTGGAATACGATGACATGCATCAACCAAGTCAGCGAGCCTGACCACCCGATCCCGTTAGTCGCCTCTTACGCTAAGCATAGTCGCCGCTTACGGCAAGCATGGGTTGCAGAAGACCTATTCTACCCCGGATCTTCACGGGGAGTGACAAGCATGGGTTGCTGAAGGCCTATTCTACCCCGGATCTTCACGGGGAGTGATTACTATTGCTTGTTTTCAAATCAACCCTGATTTTCTGTGTTCTTATGTAAACGATGCGCACCACCTTTTGTTACATCTATCTGGACCCATGACATTCTTCACACGGTAAACAATTTACAGTACAGTAAACTACGGTTAAAGCGAACTCAAAGGGACCTCGAAATTTTAGTTCGTTATAACCTTACCTCAGTTCATATCTCATTTTTTTTTAAATAACAGACAATTTCAAGTACGACTGGGTTCTACCCTGTCTGATCATTTCAGGGCGTCCCTCAAGGCAGTATGCTATCAGTCACACCTTTTAGCATAAAAATTAATAGTCTCGCTAAGGTATTAAACAATAGCGTTGATGGTTCACTTATTGTGGACGATTTCAACAAATCTTGTGGAATGAATATGAACACAATAGAAAGACAGCTACAGCTCTGTCTTAACAAAATTCAAAAATGAGCAAAAGAAAATGGGTTCAAATTTTCTCAATCCAAAACAAACTGCATTCATTTTTGTCGTAAATACAAACCGCATATGGATGCAGATTTATTTTTAGATGGTACTCCTATTAAGGTAGCAGAGGAGGCCAAATTCCTGGGCCTCATATTTGACCGTCGTCTTACATTCTTACCACACATCAAATATTTCAAGGCAAAGTGCCTGAAGGCTCTCGACTTGTTAAAAGTCGTTTCAAATTGGCAGATGGTGAAGCCAGAGGTAGACCTAACTCTAACACAACTAAAAAAAATTCGAAACAAATCAAACAAGCGTTCAACCAATTGCGATCCAAATATAATTCTCCATTTTTACAGACGGGTCCAAGGATAGTGGCAAAGTTGCTAGTGCCGCCATCTCCTGTCTCCTCAAGAATCCCAGATTCTATCTTTACTGCTGAGGCTAAAGCTATCCTAACAGCTTTGACCTATATTAAAAAAAAATACCAATCTAAATATTTCATAATCTTCCCCGATTCATTGTCATGCTTTCAGGCACTTGAAAGTGTCTCCTCAAATCATCCTATAATCCTAGACATTTTAGCACTCTTCAATGATCCTTCTACTGGCCAATCTGACATTGTCTTTTGCTGGTTGCCAAGTCATGTAGGCATAACATGTAACTCTAAAGCCGATGCTGCAGCTAAAGCAGCTCTTGACGAACCGTTATCTCCACTACTTATCCCGTACAGTGATTTCAAACCAACTATTAAAAGGTATACTTGGGATCGCATGCAAAAGAGGTGGGACACCCAGGTAGTAAGCAATAAACTCTAGGAATTAAAACCAACTATCGGTCATACCTACTTGGGTAGTCAGATGAGGACGAACCTCCTAAGTGTATCTCTTGTGATGAAAGGTTCACCTCAAGCATATATTGCTAGACTGTCTGGACTTTGCAATCGCAAGGGATTCACATAATCAAAGTGTAAATCTGAAAGATCTTATTTCCCATGTCAGCGGGCATCTCATCATAAATTACTGGAAAGAAATTGGTTTCTATGATAAATTTTAAATATGTATGTGAATGATTAAATGCTTGTTTTTAAATTTGGTGTGATGCTATTATTAACTGACTTTATTGAAGGCTCTGTCCAGGAGGTTGAAGTACCGTAACATTATTGTCCCTCTGTGTAACACGTAATCCTATCATACCCGATGTAACTATTATCAGCCAGTGTTTTTAAGCCAACTCATTGCTGAGTATATTTTAATATTGGCTAGTATTGTGCACAACCAACAGTAGCTAAAGTGATCGTAAATCCTGCTGGGGTATCATGCAGGAAGCAGAGGTACTGTAAGTCCCAATCATCCCCACCGAGGTGGCCTAGCTTTAGTTACTTGAAGCCTATAGCCCGTTTTAGAACTGTACACTGTTCTGTGATATTGTTATGCTCAATTTGCTTCATAAATTGTTTTTAAATATAACTTTGCATAAATAACTAAATTGTGAATATATTAACTTGGTCTCTTCGCTATATGGCTGAAATAATTCACTCACTCGTTATAACCTTAGTTCGTTATAAGCACATGAACAGCATATGTATACAGCAACAAAATAATACGGAAAAAAATATACGAGACCAAAAGAAGTAATATCCATCAGTTCGTAGTTTGTAATTTGTTGGTAAATCTTCGTCATTGTTTTTATGGAGTTTGTTGTTATTTCAGGTTGTGGCGTCATCTTTGTTGTGATAGCTGAAGTATTTCCTCTCTGGGCACGCGGCACATGCAGTTCAATAGCTACTTCAACTTTGTGGATATCTCAGATAGTTGTCAGTGTGACCTTCCTGTCATTGGCTGAAGCCATCACGGCCTACGGTAAGTGACCACATCACGAGTGAGTGAGGTATTTTGGTTTAGCACCGCTTTGAACAGTATGTTAGAAATGTCAAGGTATGTCAGCTTGGTGTGGGACGACGTCCCGACGTGTGATGCAAGTGTGTGTGTGTGTGTGTGTGTGTGTGTGTGTGTGTGTGTGTGTGTGTGTGCGTGCAATACTCCAGCTATATGACGGCGGTCTTTAATTAATCGAATCTGGACGACAATCCACATTAATCCCACATTAATCTGACACGCCTTGATATAACTGGAATACTGTTCAAAGCGGCGATAGGCACAACTCACTCACCTAATGTAGAAATTCAACTAATAGAACTGGAATTTACATGTACCGTATTCGACGTAATAAGCGCCCAGGGCGATCTCAAAAGTAGAAATAGTGGGCTCATATTAAAATATAACTTTGGTGAGAAAAAAACAGAGTTGAAAGATCGTAAATTTCATGGTTTATGCTAACAGCCTGAAATGAAACAAAAGAAAGGTCTGTGCGTATTATGCACGACAGATACATTTTCCAAAAAATAATTGCCCTTAAGTAAGGGTGCATATAACACACGAGTGCGCATTATATACAAATAAATAAGACTTGTGTACATTTGTCAATCGGAGGGGTGCTAATTGGGATTGTTCACCAGCTAATATATTAGCAAATATCGCCGTGGGCGCTTATTAGAGTGTTGCGCTTATTACTTCGAATACGGTTATCTTGTCTAGCACCAGTTATTTTAAAAAAGACATGTTAATATATTTCACTTTCTTACTGTATGATGAGACATATAGATCATGAACATCCATATCACGATATAAAACATTGATTTAAATTAGAGTTTTTGACATTGTAATGTTAATGACGAAATCAGAAATGAAAGTTAGAGGTTAAGAGAATTTTATCATTTGCAGTGAAATGTTAATCGAGAACCGGCGAGGCAATAGATACATGATACTCCATGTTAACTCCCGAGAGTTCCCCTTGTAAAATGCACCTATGCTTGTCGTAAAAGGCGAGCGCGGATCGATGCTCATGATATTAATCACTGTATTGTCTGGTCCAGACTCGATTATTTACAGACCGCTGTCATATAGCGGGAATATTGCTGAGTGCGGCGTTAAACAACACACCAACCAACCAAACCCCTTGCCATTAGAATGTTTTTTTAACCGCTGGCATTTAAATATTACTGATGATCGTTTGAATATTACAGACAATTATTTTTGCCCCCATCTCACCTTGTGACTGGGACATGTCGTTTTTGTTAGAAGGTAATTAGTAACTGCTTCATTAATATTGTTGCTTCTGATGCAATGTGAGTTAGCAGACACACAAAGAGAGTTAAGTATGGATTTATTGGGTCATTTTGATATTGATGTTTCTGTGTTCTATCTGAATAATCCAAGCAAAGCAACGCAAGACGGATCTCTGAGATATTTTGAACGATTGACCGATGCTTGTTTGTTTATTTGTTGAACGCCGCACTCAGCAATATTCCAGCTACATGACGGCGGTCTGTAAATAATCGAGTCTGGACAAGACAATCCGTGATTGACATCATGAGCATCGATCCACGCAACTGGGATATACGATTACATGTATCAACCAAGTAGGCTAGCCCGTCCACTCGATCCCGTTAGTCGCCTCTTACAACAAGCATAGTGGCATTTCACAGCAAGCATGGGTTGCTGAAGACCTATTCCACCCCGGATCTTCACGGTCGATTGACCAATGTGGTCAAAAGCAATGCAGTCGTAATATGAGGAATTTGTAAACGGGCACTTATTATATGACAGCATAATTGTAATTTCAAAATGAAATACATGTAGACAAAAAATGAGTTTCAATCGATTTTACCATCAGTGATAGCATACCAATGCTGAACCGGTAAGACAAAAGCTAATATTTGGGAGATGACACTCTGATTATATTTAGTGAACTCTCCATGCCATAAAACTATTTAATGCACTTGCCATAAAGTATGACCAGCAGTATAAAACTATTTAATGCACTTGCCATAATGTATGACCAGCAGTATAAAACTATGTAATGCACTTACCATAAAGTATGACCAGCAAGAGCCGTGATTCTGGGGTAGAATAGGTCTTCAGCAACCAATGCTTGCCGTAAAAGGTGACTCTGCTTGTCGTAAAAGGCGACTAACGGGATCGGGTGGTCAGGCTCGCTGACTTGGTTGATGCATGTCATCGATCCCAATTGCGTGGATCGATGCTCATGATATTATTCACTGGATTGTCTGGTCCAGACTCGATTATTTACAGACTGCCGTCATATAGATGGAATATTGCTGAGTGCGGCGTTAAACAACAAACCAACCAACCAGCTATGACCAGCAAACGTGTGTGTAATACAGATATTTTTTAGTCAATCATGTAACTTTTCTGATTTCAAGGTGCGTTCTGGCTGTATGCAGGGGTCGCCCTACTTTCTGCTGTTTACATATCCATATTCATGCCGGAAACACGAGGGGTGCGATTGGAGGACGTTGACCAGCTGTTCATGACGCACGACGAGAAGAATGTATTGCGTAAAACAGAAGAGGAAACTGAATTGAACGAAAATGCACCAGCTGACAGAATGCTTTAAATAACAACACAATCATAGGATTGGTTGGTTGGTTTGTTGTGTAACGCTGCACTCAGCAATATTACAGCTATATGACGTCCGTCTGTAAATAATCGAGTCTGGACCACCCGATCCCGTAAGTTGCCTCTTACGACAAGCATAGTCGCCTTTGAAGGCAAGCATAGGTTGCTGAAGACCTATTCTACCCCGGAATCTTCACGGGTTACTATCATAGGAACCCAGCCCACAAACTACAAAGCTTACATAGACTCTACATGGCTATAACGTTGTGTCAATGGGACATGCTAGTTGATTCATACTGCTTCAGATTTTCTCTCTCTTTGTTCACGTTGTAAATTTAGTTATTGTTTGTCAACAAACATATATTACACTTTATTCAGGTTATTTGTTTTGTTTGTTTGTTGTTTAACTCGCACTCAGCAATATTCCAGGTATATGACGGCGGTCTGTAAATAATCAAGCCTGGACCAGACAATCCAGTGACTGGCCTCATGAGCATCGATCCACGCAATGAGGTTTGTTGTTTAACGCCGCACTCAGCAATATTCGAGGTATATGACGGCGGTCTGTAAATAATCGAGTCTGGACCAGACAATCCAGTGATTTATATCATGGGCATCGTTCCACGCACTTGGGATCGATGACATGCATCAACCAAGTCAGCGAGCCTGAACACCCGATTCCGTTAGTCGCCTCTTACAACAAGAATAGTCGCCTTTTACAGCAAGCATAGATTGCTGAAGACCTATTCTACCCCAGGTCTTCACGGGTTTTTATGCAGGTTAAATCAGTGTGAGTTCACATGCTTACACATTATTTTATCTGAATATATTTTATTATATAAATGCGAAATATGCACAATGTGTGTGTATTCACAAAAAACAGCATGTTGTTTTGTTGTTCTAGAAAGTTGACAATAAAGTAAACAGAAGTGTGATCTTAATGAATCATGTTTTCCTTCTTTTATGTTACATACTGGAATCATTTTTTGTTTTTATTGTTGTTTAACGCCGCACCCAGCAATATTCCAGCTATATGGCGGCGGTCCGTAAAATAATCGAGTCTGGACCAGACAATCCAGTGGTTGACATCATGAGCATCGATCTACGCAATTGGGATCGAAGACATGTATCAACCAAGTCAGCGAGCCTGACCACCCGATCCCGTTAGTCGCCTTTTACGACAAGCATAGTCGCCTTTTACGGCAAATCTCTGGATTGTCTGGTCCAGACTCGGTTATTTACAGACCGCCTTCATAATGCTGGAATATTGCTGAGGGCGGCGTTAAACAACAAACAAAGGCCGTCCATTTTATGTTGTGTTTCCATCTCCAGCTTGTAAATAACGTTGTGACCAAGTAAATCGATGGAGAAAGATGGTCGCTCCTCTGTTGTGGTATGACATTTGAAAGAGTCCGCGTCACATACCAGGTATGTGCACAACACTGGTAGTAAGGCGAGATGAGGTGATGTGGGATTTAACGTCGCGTACAATATTATAGCACTTATATAGCGTGTGTCTGCCAGCTTGCACTAGTCCGGACCGATGCCGATTTTATAGTGCTAGCCCACTGAGGTACCATGCCGCAGTTTAACATGAGTACCCCACTCAGACACAGTATACTGACTCCGAGCCGACCAGTCCTTGCTTTAGCCCCTTAATGCCGAGCACCGGACAGGGTGACAAGTACCACCTTATAACGCCTTTCGTATGACGCGGCCGGGGATCGGACCCGGGATTTTCCGATCTCCTGGCGGACGCTCTACCACATGACCATGGAGGCGATCACAACAGGTAAGACAGCCATGAGTGAGAGTATGAGACGAAGCGTACGTAAAAGAAATCAATAGGAGTTTGTTGGAAGCAAGTTACTCATACATATGTATGTTTAGCTAACCGGTGCTCATAAACCGTAAATAATTCTTTCGCAATTTCACGGCTGCAAATCATCGTCTACGCGCCGTTAGTCTGACGATGGTCAAACAGGAATGTCACAAAACGAATTTGCCGGACATTTTACTGTTCGTAGAGAGACAATATCATCTCTGGATGACTATACTCATCTCTGGATGACAGTATCATCTCTGGATGACAATATCATCTCTGGATGACTATACTCATCTCTGGATGACAGTATCATCTCTGGATGACAATATCATCTCTGGATGACAATATCATCTCTGGATGACTATACTCATTACTTGCCACGGGCAGGCTTGGCAGGATTAAATCACTCATCTCCTGACTGACCTGAACCTAGGACTGACACACTCAAGAGTGAAATTAACTTAGGGTCATTTTACTTCAAGTAGCAAACATTTACTTAGCAGAGTAGAAGATGCAAATAATTCAAGTATGAACTGTGTGACACATGTATAGTAAATAAAAAATATAATACCTATCATGGTTTTTTTTCTATTTATATACAATTTAATATAATGTGTGAGGTATTGTCCATGTAGGGAAATGTCTGTGTGGGGAAATGTCTGTGTGGGGAAATGTCCATGTGGGGAAAGGTCTGTGTGGGGTATTGTCCATGTGGGGAAATGTCAGTGTGGGGTAGTGTCCATGTGGGGAAATGTCTGTGTGGGGTAGTGTCCATGTGGGGAAATGTCAGTGTGGGGTAGTGTCCATGTGGGGAAATGTCAGTGTGGGGTGTGTCCATGTGTGGAAATGTCTGTGTGGGGTAGTGTCCATGTGGGGAAATGCCTGTGTTGTGTATTGTTCATGTTGGGAAATGTCAGTGTGGGGTAGTGTCCATGTGGGGAAAGGTCTGTGTTGTGTATTGTTCATGTGGGGAAATGTCAGTGTGGGGTGTGTCCATGTGGGGAAATGTCTGTGTGGGGTATTGTCCATGTGGGGAAATGTCAGTGTGGGGTGTGTCCATGTGGGGAAATGTCTGTGTGGGGTAGTGTCCATGTGGGGAAATGCCTGTGTTGTGTATTGTTCATGTTGGGAAATGTCAGTGTGGGGTAGTGTCCATGTAGGGAAATGTCTGTGTGGGGTAGTGTCCATGTGGGGAAATGTCTGTGTTGTGTATTGTTCATGTGGGGAAATGTCAGTGTGGGGTAGTGTCCATGTGGGGAAATGTCTGTGTGGGGTAGTGTCCATGTGGGGAAATGCCTGTGTTGTGTATTGTTCATGTTGGGAAATGTCAGTGTGGGGTAGTGTCCATGTGGGGAAATGTCTGTGTGGGGTAGTGTCCATGTGGGGAAATGCCTGTGTTGTGTATTGTTCATGTTGGGAAATGTCAGTGTGGGGTAGTGTCCATGTGGGGAAATGTCTGTGTGGGGTAGTGTCCATGTGGGGAAATGCCTGTGTTGTGTATTGTTCATGTTGGGAAATGTCAGTGTGGGGTAGTGTCCATGTGGGGAAATATCTGTGTGGGGTAGTGTCCATGTGGGGAAATGCCAGTGTGGGGTAGTGTCCATGTGGGGAAATGCCTGTGTTGTGTATTGTTCATGTGGGAAAATGTCAGTGTGGGGTAGTGTCCATGTGGGGTAGTGTCCATGTGGGGAAATGTCAGTGTGGGGTAGTGTTCATGTGGGGAAATGTCAGTGTGGGGTATTGTCCATGTGGGGAAATGTCAGTGTGGGGTAGTGTCCATGTGGGGAAATGCCTGTGTTGTGTATTGTTCATGTGGGAAAATGTCAGTGTGGGGTAGTGTCCATGTGGGGAAATGTCTGTGTTGGGTATTGTCCATGTGGGGAAATGTCTGTGTGGGGTAGTGTCCATGTGGGGAAATGTCTGTGTGGGGTAGTGTCCATGTGGGGAAATGTCTGTGTGGGGTAGTGTCCATGTGGGGAAATGCCAGTGTGGGGTAGTGTCCATGTGGGGAAATGTCTGTGTGGGGAAGTGTCCATGTGGGGAAATGCCAGTGTGGGGTAGTGTCCATGTGGGGAAATGTTTGTGTGGGGAAATGTCCGCGTTGGGAAATTGCCCAGTATATTATATTACATTAACATAACATTTTCACCACTTTGTATGATACACAGCTATTTTTTCTGCTACATAACATATATTGTTACTGGTTATAATGCGGATTTTGAAAGTCTAAAAAATGCAAGTTCGCTGCCAGTTTCCATTTTACTAATCGTCCTTTTTCTGTTGAACAATGAAGAGAATATTGGGTTGACAACCCATACTTTGCTCTACCTAGGCCAAACCGAAGCCTAAGTTGTACAGCAGATTACACATGTTGTTCACTCAAGTTGCCCACGTTTTGCTTCTCGATTCATCTTGGCATATATGTCAATGTCAGTGTGTCTCATCACGATAAACATGTAGGTAAAATGAATGGGATGTCTATCCAGCTCATCATAAATGGCTTCCTTAGTTGTCCTTGTGTTAACAGAGGACACTTTTCTAAGGGACGTAATGTGTACACGTAAAATAGACTGAACTTGTTCATAAACCCACACATCTGATCCATAACAAAAGACTGGTAAAATCATTCTGTCACACCAAAGACTTCCAACATCATGTATGGTTGTCACTCTCAAAAGAAAGGAAGTTATGTTCTTCAATGGATATTGTCGTTGTTTTTCTCTTGTTTGGCACTGTTTGTATAGCAAGTGTACAAATGAAAAGATTTAAGAAATTATGTTTCCTCAATGATATTAAAAGATTGCCACCAAACCCATCCATTCTGTTCACTTGATTCATTATTGGCATCATTGTTTCCGAACTCATCGCCGTCATCTGAGTATTTTTTAATAAGGCATTGCGCAGCAACTCTCTCAGAAAAATATATATAGAATAATATCATCACAACTCTGAATTAAAGATTACGTCTCGAGACATTCAGAAAAAAACGTCATACATCTCATGAAATCTGTTTTTTCTGTAGTTGATATGTCAAGACGTCTTCTGTATACAAAGTATACATCTAAGGAACACAAACATATGCTGCTGTTATCAATATACAGTACTGTACTTGGAACAGGTCAGTTATCAAACGTGCCCCTAAAACAGTTATCTGTTTTTTGGGACAGTTGGTACAGTCTCGTGAAATCAAAACAGTACAGCTCCTATTTTATCAATTACCTTTTGAAGGAATGATTTTTCATTCTCTGCCTCCCTCCTTGCTCTTAATCGTGCCTCTCGTTCCACCTTTCTCACATGTTCCTTATAATCCTCTTCATAAATCATCTGAAGAGTGATCATAATTTGTGCATCATTCTGCTCCAGCATGTCCATTTCTGCATCATATTTTTCTTTCAAAAGTCTCATTTCTTCTTCTTTCCTCTGATTGAGTTCTTCTATTTTCTTTCTCTCAATCTCAGTTCGTTCAGCATTGACAATCTGCGCTGCTTTGTTATCACGTTCCTTCTGAAGTCTAACACTCTGTGAATATTCCTTTAATGCTGTTAGTTCCTGTTCAGTGTGTTTCTGCTTCTCTGTTGCTTCCTTTTCTAGTTTGGCTCTAAGTTCTCCTTCCTTCTGTTTCTGTTTCTCCGCTTCTTCTAGAGCCCTCCTCATTTGACGATCCTGTTCCTCTTTAAAAGTCCTTGCTTTCAGTTCTTCATTCCGTTTCAATTCACGCAACATCTCGTCCGTCTCTCGCAGTATTTCCTCCTTTTCCTTTTCGCATTTAAGCCTTTGCTCTTCAGCCTTTCGTTCCATCTCTTCCTTTTCCTTCATCAGCAATTCACTCCGAGCCTTTTCCATTGCATCGAGTTCAGCCTGTTGTTCCATCTGAACATGTTCCGTGAGCTCCTCTTCTTTTACCTTCATTGCAAGTTCAGCTGCTTCAAACATCGCATTAGTGTAACACCCTCCACCATTATGGGCAACCGTTCGGTCAATGAGGTCAATGAGATTCATTCGAAACGTCTCTTTTTCCTCTTCATTACGATTGTTCACAACAATGTATCTATCCTGACAGTCCTTGACGAGCTGTTGTAAGACTGGTGAACTTCTCCTAAGGTGGTCTTCAAGTGCTATGCCATCGTGTATAAGATTGTCTTTTCTGGTGAAAACAATGATCATGTAGTGAACAACATTCTCGCCAAAGTATTCCTTGTAGTATTCAACTGTGTTCTGATCTTCCTCGGTAAATCTTCCAATCTGGGTGACAAACACCACAGCATGTAATCCAGGGGACGTGAGTGCTATACATTTCATGATCTCACTTTTTCTCTCATCATTTGATTCCAGAGTGTCAAACATTCCGGGTGTATCTACAATAAGAATCGACCTGCTTTTGTATTCAGCAGTTGCATATTTTGACTCCTTTGTGATAGATATTCCGCTTGCACGGGAATCAAATGCTTTGGATCCAATCAGAGAATTCCCTGTTGCACTTTTACCTGATCCTGTCTTACCAATGAGAACAATGCGCAATTCTCGGATTATTTCTTCGTTGGGAGTACATTCCTTTTCTGAAAGAAGAAAGTTAATCAATGACTGAGCTGTTGATCAAGACATTAACTAGTGAGTGAGTGAGTATAGTTTTACGCAGCTTTTAGCAATATTCCAGCAATATCACGGCGGGGGACACCAGAAATGGGCTTCACACATTGTACCCATGTCGGGAATGGAACCCGCGTCTTCGGCGTGACGAGAAAACGCTTTAACCACTAGGCTAAGCCACTGCCCAAGATATTAACTATTTGTGTGCATATGTACTTATAAAACAATACAACTACAAATTCTATAACTGCATCTAACTGAAAATTTATTTTGCGGAAACGGTGCATTCACAGTTACACATGACAAGACTTTGAAACACAAACATAATAGTAATTCTACGTAAAACTGTACGCGTCATTATCTTCATAAAGTCACGACGGATCGAAATGATTCCCTTCATTGTTGTTGACACGGGAAATAAACAGTACTTTAGATTCTAGGCTTTTTTCAACATAGAAATGGACCTGTAATCATAACCAAAGACTTACTTTTACTCTGAACTATATAAAACCAGTAAACTATAATGACGACACGGATATACTGAATAATGAAATGAACAAGGGAACACTGAGGTTTGGACACAGTAAAATGATATGCTATCATAGGTGGCCATCCTTGTCGACCAAATACATGTTGGAATCAATGCACACAAACGCATATCAACATTTGATACTGACATGTGTTGACCTTTTATGCGCGCTATTTCAAATGTACTTAAAGTTAAGCTTATTCCCCTAAATTTCTCATTGCTCCATCATTCCTTTCCATCAGTATATATAGTCCATATATATATGTCAGTATAGTCGCTTACATTTAAATGTAAAGAAGACACAAGAGTATCGTATCATCCATACAAACGTCATCATGCTTATCTCATTGCATGTTTTGGCCCGTGAAGATCCGGGGTAGAATAGGTCTTCAGCAACCCATGCTTGCCGTAAAAGGTGACTGCTCGTCGTAAAAGGCGACTAACAGGATCGGGTGGTCAGGCTGACGTGGTTAATGCATGTCATCGATCCCAATTGCGTGGATCGATGCTCATGTTATCAATCACTGGATGATAATGATGTCCAATGCAATTCCATATTTTGACTTTTATCATAATTATTTTCCTGTGGCGTTTTAGGTTATCATTTGACTTGCCCTTGCATGTGTTAGTGATGGTTCCACCGGTGGGACAAGATTGGGCGCACCTTTTCGCGAACACCTGGTGTCATCACTATTTGATAGTGATTCATAAACACATGCTCAAGATAGTCGAAATTGTACAATCGACTCTGCTTTTGGCAGATGATTTTGACGCTTTTAACTTTTGCATACCTATGGTGATGACTGGACACTCCTTCATCCTTTTAACATCCTCCTCCAGCCTTGCTTGCCTGCTCTTTGCTTCTTCAAGCTCCTTCATCATCTTTGCCATCTTTTCTTCATATTCCTAATATATACACATATAATACATAAGTAAATACCACTTGAGTGTGTAAATACACAGAACAGCCATACAATGAAACAATGCAACGGTCAATAATAACCTGAATCATTTTGCCGGTACATTTCAGTGAGGCATAATGTAAATTATGTTTTAATGTGATAATTTCCATAGTCAGCTGACCCATATGCGACAATAAACGTTTTGTCTGGGCCATGCAGACCAACGCCGTCTTGGTACGATTACATACAAAGAACAAGGTCGCCTTGTCCTCCAGACCCGTGAAGATTCCAGGGTAGAATAGGTCTTCAGCAACCCATGCTTGCCGTAAAAGGTGACTATTCTTGTCGTTAAAGGCGACTAACGGGATCGGGTGGTCAGGCTCGCCGACTTGGTTGATGCATGTCATCGATCCCAATTGCGTGGACCGATGCTCATGATATCAATTACTGGATTGTCTGGTCAAGACTCGATTATTTACAGACCGCCGTCATATAGCTGAAATATTGCTGAGTGGGGCGTTAAACAACAAACCAAACAACAACCTTGTCCTCCATGTGTCTAAAGACCCTAATGACACCAATAACCTGAATGAACGACTGTTGTCATTGTCGGCTTGGGGTAGGTGAAATAGTTCCTATTTTCAAACTTTCGTGGTGGTCTCACCCATGTTGGGTAATTCACCGTAGATAAATATTTATTGCGTTTTGTAATGAGAAATTCGTGTGTCAGCTTGCAGCACTTCTATAAACAGTCCGCGATGAACGGCACCTTTGGGCAAGGATGTAAATAGACTGCATAGAACGGTAGATTACAGCACTCCCAGTAAGACCTAGGAGTAATCAGACACGCGACAGCTGACCAATTAAAGCTCGAGCAATAGACATACTGATAGAGACTGCAGCTGGAATGTCAATGTCAATCAGGAAAAGAGAGGCGTTTGATAGCATAGTTCCGATGCCTAAAAACGACGCATTTTGCGTCCCCAACCGTCGTTCTTTCGTCCAGTGACCACATACGTAAGTTAAAGACCCCTTCGTGTTTGCAGCGATACCGGAGCTCGTAGGATCTACCAGTGGTAAACGTTTAAGACGCAACAAGCGCTATCACCCGTCCAATAGTCCATCCACCCAACCACGCAAAACAAGTTCACGGAAGTTCCTTTTCCTGTCTTGAGACAGCTAATGTACTCTAGTTATTTCAATGCTGCTTACGCCAACGATGCTACGTTTAATACCTCATGCAAATTGCAGATTCGCGATAAATAGTTTAGCATTACAAGATATCATTTTTAAAAAAGTTTAAGTGACTGAAACAAATCGGGGTATCAAATGATGTGTTTCGTAGATCGTACTCGTTTAAATGTAAATTGAGTCTTCATCAGAATTACATGCATCTGTTATTATTATGTGACATGTTGACATTTATCTCGTGTTTAGAACTTAACAAGGCAACTCATTCTAAATACCACATAACGCCAAATTGACATTTATGTTGTATGCACTGTTTATATAAATAAAGAAGGAAGATATAGAATATATTTTAAAATTATAAATATTTTTATTTGTAGTAACAGAGTGCTAACCCTTTGCATTGCTGCTTTCTCCGCTTCAAAGTAGGCTGCCTGTTTTTCACTTTCCTTCTGTGAGAGCAAAGCTTGCAGGTCGGCATCTGTATTTCAGACAGAAAATATGATCATTGCAAACAAAAATATTACCAAAATGTAATGCTTAAACGAGCGTTGATATAGCTTTTTCAAACACCAGGGGAAGCTTTGTGAACAATCAATTGCTATATGAATTGCGTCTGGTAGTTTTGTCATTTTTATTAACAAACATCACACTAAGTTAGTTAAACCCGATCACTGATATAAAACTGGAAATGTTCAGTCGGGGATGTGCACCCCTTCATCCTAAGCCTTTATCCCCTGCTCCAGCCAGCCGCACGCACTCACGTATGCACGAGACTGGAACATGTAATGGATACAAAATGGTGAGTGATGCTACATCTGGTTCTGACGACAGGGCGTGTATATACGGATCTGGTATCCAGCAAGGTATCTGCCACCGGATACCCGTACACGTTTTGGGTAAGTGTCCGGAGGTATCCGGAAGGTATCCGGATACCGGAAACTGCATTTATTTGGCTGTGATAATTGGAAACTGCATTTACAAACCTGGTATTCGATTCTTGTCCCCAGTCTCTGCAAGTCGAGCCCTCAGTTCTTGTATCTCTGTCTGAAACTCTCTCAGCAGTGCATCCTTAGGGTCTTCATTGATGACCGGCTTGTTCTTGATGGTCTTTGCACTGCTGGCAAACCTGAGAGTGCTGAGTGTCTCGTCATAGTTGTAGTCAGCCGGGGAGACACAAGCCACCATCAGCGTCCGCGCATTCCCGCCCAGAGAGTCCTGGAGCAACTTCGTCAACTTGGAGTCTCTGTACGGTATAAGCTGGTTCTTTCCCTCTGCTAATATTGAGATGACTCTTCCAAGACAGTGAAGAGAGAGGTTAATCTTGATGCCTTCCTTGAACCTCACACCAGCGGTCCCTATTATAGAATTCCATACAGAACAAATATAGTGAAGTGAGGGAGTTGATTTTAGTCTTCTCGACAGTCACAAATATTCGGAAATATTCTCCAAATAATGGAATCACACAAATCAGGAAACGATGACATGCCAAGCTTGAGTTAACACACATTCCAATTTAGTTGCCTATAAGACTGTTCGCCTTAAATATAATATCTATAACAATTTAGGGTTAATTCCAATACGAGTACAACTTATGAAACCCATTTTGGGTGTACCCAGCCGGAATGCTGCTGAATATTGATGTATGTATGTATGTACAACCATACTCACTCGCTCTTCCTTCGGAGTTTCATTGACCTAACGAGATTGAGTTGTCTTCGCAATATGTACGCAACGCAGACTCACAAAATACAAATGAAAGGTAACTGCAATAACCCGATGCCACGTCCACTCACCGGTCTTGCTTTGTCTTTCACTTCCTGCCAGATCCACGAGGTTGAGTTTGCCTGCTCTGATGTGTCCATTTGTCCTCTGGTCCAGTGTCTCGATGCTGATAGCGAAGACGGTGTGGCTGCGAGAGGATTCGCTGTTCATGTCTGTGGCACCTGTAGAACGCCTTTTCAAGCCTTTGTTCATGAGCTCCTCGCACTGAACCACTGTATTCACTGGGTGTTTCGAGAGACCTGTATTTGTAGGAATGAATGGGTTCTACTATGAACAGCTACTCGTACCGTATTTGCATTAATCTATTGCCCATTTACTCTATACATACCTGGATAATGAACAGTTCGTTTATTTGCTTAAATAATTCAGCTGTTTCTTGACCGCATGTTCTCTTTACTACTGTACCCATGTACACACACTCATGATCACTGATAGACGTGCAGGCTAATAATTGCGATGTACACATATTACATCTCGGCCCGCACTAGGGTTGCAACCGGGTACGAAAACTGAACTCGAGTACCCGGCAGACAATACCCGACCGGACTCAGGTACCCGTAGTTCAATGTTGTCCCACTTGTTTGTAATGCTTTTGCGAATAAAAGGTCATCAAACATGTATTGATCTATTCTAAGGTATTATGTTTTTTATTAAATGCCTGCATGGCTTACCTAAAACATTCGAACGTGTGTCCGTTTTGTCGTCCATTTTGAAGTGACTTACGAGTTACGAAAGGCGATTAGAGTTGTCTCCCCTGAACGGGTACTCGAGTCCTGAAAATTGGACTCAAGTCCTAAGCTACCCGACCCGTTATCGGGTACTCGAGTACACATATTACATCTTGGTCTGCACAATGATGAGCCCTGTAACGAATGTAAAATCGTTTGTTCCTCTTACATACCAGTTGCTGGTAATTTGTGCCCTGTAGTTTCTTTCTTATGACGACTTTTAAGGTGAATCTATATTTGACCGTCTTAACCATGTCAGGTGAGGTGAGGTGAAATTGGGTTTAACGTCGCGTCCAAAATTATTGCACTTATATAGTGACATGCATGCACGTGTGTGTGTGTGTGTGTGGCTGCTTGTACTAGACCGAACTGATGCCGTTTTATAGTGCTAGCCCACTGAGATACCATGCCGCAGTTTAACATGAATACCCCACTCAGACTCAGTATACTGACTCCGAGCCGACCAGTCCTTGCTTTAACCCCTTAATGCCGAGCGCCAGACAGGGTAACAACCAGTACCATCTTTTAACGTCTTTTGATATGACGCGGCTGGGGATCGAACCCCGGACCTTCCGCTCTCAGGACGGACGCTCTACCACTAGACCACGGAGGCGCTCTTAACAATGTCAGGACAGTGATAATGCAAAACAATGAAACAGAAGAGAATTCAGATCTAATCACACATCACTGACATCAACATGGTAGACTTTCAGTGTGGACACTTACCTTTTACATAGAAACCCTTATTGGGGAAAGATCCAATATCCAATTTCTCTTTAAGGCTTTTCCCCAATAAATCTCTGATTTCTTCATTGTAGATTTCGTAGCATGAACAGTGTACAACACACTGCTCACTCTTGGTGGAGGACACGATTTTGAAAATGTCTTCCACGGCCCTAGAACAACAAGGTGGTCGCCGTCTTGATAAAACACATCCCAACTATACTTGGCACATTACATTAAGGTGTCTAAACATTATCAACACTTACTACTATGACAACATCTTTAGCCAAACAAATGGATCTAAATTTACGCCACCTTTAGGACCACTGGAACCATTTCGTGACGGGAGACAAAAGGAATGGGCTTCACACTTTGTACACGTAGTCATGTGTGGAATTGAACCCGGGTCTTCGGTGTGACGAGCCAACACTCTAACCACAACTATTCCCCGCTCTGTATCATTCGTCTATATGTTACCTTGGGATGATGCCATGTTGGGTTGTAGGTTCTGATATTCCCTGCATGGTAAACGTCTTTCCAGAGGCAGTTTGTCCATAGGCAAAGATTGTACCATTGTACCCTTCCGTAACACTCTGAAAGACAATGTTACAATGCTGATTGATACGAGCACTGACGACCGTAACCGCTAATACCTTCACACCTCGATGCCTGATTCGTCTTCATTCTTGGTGACGTTCCCCTAATTTTCTCCACACCATCTATCGTGATTAATGATAACTTGGAAACTGTTCGTTGTATTTGCATTTGTATTTACAACTGAGTACTATCTGTCGGAAGACATATACTTGCTACATATGTGCATGTTGGAACATGGTTGACCCGGTGTCATACAGCACTGCTGCTCTCGATGGGATCCCAAAGCCACCACAGTGTCATGCGTTCGAACCAAAGGGAAATTATTTAGCTCTGTCAAAACCAGCATGGATTTTAACCAAGGTGATCAAATCAGAATTTCTTTGTCAGTTTACACTGAAACCCCATATCATAACTAACATGTAAAGCGATTAAAGTCACATATATGGCACAGCCAATTCAGTGTATGATTAGATAAACATTATATTAGATGCACTTGTTAAATCACCACCACACTGATCACTGACCTTCACAATAGGACACACGATGTCGCTGTAGATGTGTGCTGTAGTAGTGTCGCCAGAGTATGCCTGGTCAAAGGTGAACTGTTTACTGCCCGGTCTGTCCGAGTCCTGCTTTGTTATCACACACGATCCCTCCGTGTCAGCAATGGTGAGCACTGGCTTACATCCTCTTTTGTGTTCCGAATCGCTCATTGGGCGGCATCTTACAATGACCTTCACCAGTTCTTCTCTTGCTGCCATAACTTACAGATGGGTGTGAGCTGGAAGGAATCACATGCTCAATACAAAGTAAAGTGATACCGTACGACTCTATCATCACTTTCAAATATGCCTCAAAATTAAGAAAATACTTGATCATTTCTCGTTACAAATTCGCACATGGCTTTATTACTTTATGCAAGGTGCGTGAAGGCTTTGAATAATTTAGTTGCAATCTCATTAAAATCAGGTCTTAGTTCTCGCTGCCGCTGAACAAAGATCTGAGGACATCCCATTACGGGTCACGTCAGACCGACCTTGTGCGAATTTTGACCGACAAATGAAAGGACTGACAAGAAGTCGACATTAGCCAATCAGAAGGCAGCTTTCTCGTGCTTAAGGGAACTAATTTCAAATTGGCGACAAAGCTTCGAAACATATTTTGACACAATTCTCGATAAAAAATTTGAAACCTGAACAAAAGAACATTCTGGAATGGCTAATAGATGGTCTATATTGTATGGATTCAGTCGTTAAGCCCGTAACTATCGTTCTGAATACCCCGTGTTAAAGTTTCGAGGTTGCATAATTAGAAATCACATTCCAACTGTCACTTTCATGATCTGGTAAGCGACGCTCTGATTGGTCGGATGAAAGGTCGTTCTGACGTGACCCCTAATGGGATGTCCTCAGATCTTTGTTTAGCTGCAGCGAAAACTAAGATCTGATTTTCATGAGATTGAATTTAGTTGCAGTATTACATCGTGTGTCAGCCTGTCGAGGGGAAGGGGGCAAATATGACGATGGTCTTATATTTAGACGTTTACAATTTGGTGACAATCACGAATACATGTATTGTACTGACAAAGCACAAATCATAATTTGGGCCAGTGTCGGATTAGAACCCACGATCATGTACATAAAATGAACAATTCTGGCACATCCGAGCGACTCAGCCATGTTACGCCATGTATTGATAAGAAAAGGAAGGACTAGTTGACCATAATAGGTCATGCCCCACGATTGGCCAAACATCGTGGCATGGTCTGAATCAATGTCCCAACTTGAGGGAGTCTTGTCCACTCCTCTTAAACAACAAACCAACCAACCTATTGGGAAAGGTCATCTCATATCTGGCCATTGCATCATGTTGATGGTTTGTTGCTTGTGTTACGATACGTGAACGGTTATGGTCTGGAAAGACAAATCGTGGACCAGCCAGGGCACAACAGTTAGCGCCAGTATGTTGTCTCGGTAGTACAGTCCAGTGACCCTTCGTTGTCCAGTGTCACTGAAGGGTCAAAATCAAGACTGACCGCCTTAACCAAGCGAACGAAGGAATTGCTTGCTCCACACGCAATGGTCAGGTGTGTTGAGGCGTTAGGTTTGGGGCCTAAAAATGGCATATAATTTTCAAAGCTGCTCTTTCATATTTATATTTCATGATCCCCTATGTATTTGGAGGGCATATAGTTAACCTGAGAACGATCGTAGTTTTCAAGATGATCGTTCAGCTTCACCAATCGACCTTCAAATTCCTTTCACCATTGTCATAACCCATGTCATCCTTACTACGTTAGTACACGTAGAGGTAAAACCGATAAAACAAATATAAGAGCGAACAAAGTAAAATGTGTAGGGATGACGGTGATTTGGTGAGTGAGCGCCGCTTTTGAACATTATTTCAGTTATATAACAGCGTTTTAACTTGAAGTGAAAGGAAAGATTGAGGTGACGCCGGTCTCAGATGTTTACCACTTTGGTAAAACCAACGAGCACATCTACTGTGCTGTCAAAACAAGAAATATCCTCAGGGCGAATCAGGTATTCGAATCATAGGATACGAGCATGTCTGAAGGCCGCAACTCATCATAGCAAACTGCCCCCTATGATGACCAGGACAGGAGAAGCGCTGCATTTACAAGTTAGAAAGAAGTCATGACAAACATGGATCCGTGCGGGGTTTTGAAAGACTGCTCGGTGGCACGTGAGCAGCTGAGAGTTTAACAGTTCGTTATAAACATAAACACAATCCAGTGATTGATATCATGAGCATCGACCCACGCAATTGGGATTGATGACATGCATCAACCAAGTCAGCAAGCCTGACCACCCGATCCCGTAAGTCGCCTTTTACGACAAGCATAGGCACCTTTTATGGCAAGCATGTGTTGCTGAAGACCTATTCTACCCCGGAATCTTCACGGGTCCGTTGACGGACTACACACGGAACCACAAAGTGAGTTCGCTATATCTCTTATTTGGTTTAAGCGTGTCTTAATATCCATCAAATATATATTATAAAATTTACAAATGGCCAGGACCTACAAACTAGTTCGTTTTATCCGTCAGTTTGTTACAAGCGTGTCCGTTATAAACGTACTTGAATGTATTATTATCTGGATAATCGAAGATGTTATCGGCGTTACACATTATCTTCTCGTGTGATAATAAACGTTCAAATAGTATTGAAATAGTAGAAATTGGTATAATAAACGTTGGCCATCTCACATGTAAGATATATCATGATTTGAAGACAATATATAGTGAGTGAGTGAGTATGGTTTTATCACGGCGGGGGACACCAGTAATGGGCGAAGACAATATATAACACATATATGAAAGTTAATGTTTTCAACATACCTGGTCTCAGCCAATGTGATAGATATCAGGTTATACTCTGTCACAATTCAAACCAGATTATTTCATAAATATGGATTCGCCTACACGTTGTATTTAGATATATACATTGTGTGTATTATCAGTGTCACATGTACATGGCATATCGTATGACAGAGGCTGATTAAAAGATTAAATAGTATCCATGTATCCATTTTATACATATCAGCCATACAGGTACAAGCGTTGAAAGGTCTTCGCGGATCACGAAAATGTGATAATAAGTCACATGACAATTACGGACACGCCTACTATCATCTCTATTTGATAGTGATTCATAAACACGTTAAAGACAGACGCGTTCGGTAGACTTTTAGGAGAGATTCCTTATGAGTATGTGTTTTCGCTTCCACCAAGCAGGAACGGGCTATAAGTGTAGACTTCCGTCTGTCCATCCGTCCGTCCTTATATCATTCTGTCCGCCCGCCCAAAGCTTATGGCGACAAGTGTTTTTTCAGGAACAGTTATGGATACAAGGATGATGAGTTATAGCCCTTGACGAAGTTCCAAAACAACCATCGAAAATAAATATTTTACAGAGTTATGCTAGAGTTTAGCGAGTCAGATGCTAAAAGTACACAGGTTGCAGCGTCTAACACAACAGTATTACCTGACATTGTAGATCAGTATCAAAACGTATACAGGCTACAGGGTCTAACACAACAGTGTTACCTGACATTGTAGATCGAAGGGTAAACGTATACAGGCTACAGGGTCTAACACAACGGTATCACCTGACATTGTAGATCAGGATCAAAACGTATACAGGCTACAGGGTCTAACACAACGGTAGCACCTGACATTGTAGATCGGAGGGTAAACTTATACAAGCTACAGGGTCTAACACAACGGTAGCACCTGACATTGTAGATCGGAGGGTAAACGTATAAAATCTAGAGGGTCTAACACAACGGTATCACCTGACATTGTAGATCAGGATCAAAACGTATACAGGCTACAGGGTCTAACACAACAGTAGCACCTGACATTGTAGATCAGGATCAAAACGTATACAGGTTACAGGGTCTAAGACAACAGTATTACCTGACATTGTAGATCGGAGGGTAAACGTATACAGGCTACAGGGTCTAACAGAACAGTAGCACCTGACATTGTAGATCGGAGGGTAAACGTATACAGGCTACAGGGTCTAACACAACGGTATCACCTGACATTGTAGATCAGGATCAAAACGTATACAGGCTACAGGGTCTAACACAACAGTAGCACCTGACATTGTAGATCAGGATCTAAACGTACACAGGTTACAGGGTCTAACACAACAGAATTACCTGACATTGTAGATCAGGATCAAAACGTATACAGGTTACAGGGTCTAACACAACAGTATTACCTGACATTGTAGATCGGAGGACAAACGTATACAGGCTACATGGTCTAACACAACAGTATTACCTGACATTGTAGATCAAGATCTAAACGTATACAGGCTACAGGGTCTAACACAACAGTATTACCTGACATTGTAGATCAAGATCTAAACGTATACAGGCTACAGGGTCTAACACAACAGTATTACCTGACATTGTAGATCAGGATCTAAACGTATACAGGTTACAGGGTTTAACAAAACAGTATTATCTGACATTGCAGAGCGGAGGGTAAACGTTTACAGGTTACAGGGTCTAACACAACAGTATCACCGGACATTGTAGATCAGGATCTAAACGTATACAGGCTACAGGGTCTAACACAACAGTATTACCTGACATTGTAGATCGGAGGGTAAACGTATACAGGCTACAGGGTCTAACACAAGAGTATTACCTGACATTTTAGATCAGGATCTAAACGTACACAGGTTACAGGGTCTAACACAACAGTATTACCTGACATTTTAGATCAGGATCTAAACGTATACAGGCTACAGGGTCTAACACAACAGTATAACCTGACATTGTAGATCAGGATCTAAACGTACACAGGTTACAGGGTCTAACACAACAGAATTACCTGACATTGTAGATCAGGATCAAAACGTATACAGGTTACAGGGTCTAACACAACAGTATTACCTGACATTGTAGATCGGAGGACAAACGTATACAGGCTACAGGGTCTAACACAACAGTATAACCTGACATTGTAGATCAGGATCAAAACGTTCACAGGTTACAGGGTCTAACACAACAGAATTACCTGACATTTTAGATCAGGATCAAAACGTATACAGGTTACAGGGTCTAACACAACAGTATTACCTGACATTGTAGATCGGAGGACAAACGTATACAGGCTACATGGTCTAACACAACAGTATTACCTGACATTGTAGATCAAGACCTAAACGTATACAGGCTACAGGGTCTAACACAACAGTATTACCTGACATTGTAGATCAGGATCTAAACGTATACAGGTTACAGGGTTTAACAAAACAGTATTATCTGACATTGCAGAGCGGAGGGTAAACGTTTACAGGTTACAGGGTCTAACACAACAGTATCACCGGACATTGTAGATCAGGATCTAAACGTATACAGGCTACAGGGTCTAACACAACAGTATTACCAGACATTGTAGATCGGAGGGTAAACGTATACAGGCTACAGGGTCTAACACAAGAGTATTACCTGACATTTTAGATCAGGATCTAAACGTACACAGGTTACAGGGTCTAACACAACAGTATTACCTGACATTTTAGATCAGGATCTAAACGTATACAGGCTACAGGGTCTAACACAACAGTATAACCTGACATTGTAGATCAGGATCTAAACGTACACAGGTTACAGGGTCTAACACAACAGTATTACCTGATATTGTAGATCAAGATCTCAACGTATACAGGCTACAGGGTCTAACACAACAGTATTACCTGACATTGTAGATCAGGATCTAAACGTATACAGGTTACAGGGTTTAACACAACAGTATTACCTGACATTGTAGATCGGAGGGTAAACGTATACAGGCTACAGGGTCTAACACAACGGTATCACCTGACATTGTAGATCAGGATCAAAACGTATACAGGCTACAGGGTCTAACACAACAGTAGCACCTGACATTGTAGATCGGAGGGTAAACGTATACAGGCTACAGGGTCTAACACAACGGTATAACCTGACATTGTAGATCAGGATCTAAACGTACACAGGTTACAGGGTCTAACACAACAGTATTACCTGACATTGTAGATCAGGATCAAAACGTATACAGGCTACAGGGTCTAACACAACAGTATTACCTGACATTGTAGATCGTAAGGTAAACGTACACAGTTTACAGGGTCTAACACAACGGTATCACCTGACATTGTAGATCAGGATCTAATCGTACACGGGTTACAGGGTCTAAGACAACAGTATCACCTGACATTGTAGATCAGGATCTAAACGTGTACAGGTTACAGGGTCTAACACAACGGTATTACCTGACATTGTAGATCAGGATCTAAACGTGTACAGGTTACAGGGTCTAACACAACGGTATTACCTGACATTGTAGATCAGGATCTAAACGTGTACAGGTTACAGGGTCTAACACAATGATATTACCTGACATTGTAGATCAGGATCTAAACGTGTACAGGTTACAGGGTCTAACACAACGGTATCACCTGACAATGTAGATCAGTAGCTAAACGTACACAGGTTACAGGGTCTAACACAACAGTATTACCAGACATTGTAGATCAGGATCTAAACGTGTACAGGTTACAGGGTCTAACACAATGATATTACCTGACATTGTAGATCAGGATCTAAACGTGTACAGGTTACAGGGTCTAACACAATGATATTACCTGACATTGTAGATCAGGATCTAAACGTGTACAGGTTACAGGGTCTAACACAACGGTATCACCTGACAATGTAGATCAGGATCTAAACGTGTACAGGTTACAGGGTCTAACACAACGGTATTACCTGACATTGTAGATCAGGATCTAAACGTGTACAGGTTACAGGGTCTAACACAACAGTATTACCTGACATTGTAGATCAGGATCTAAACGTGTACAGGTTACAGGGTCTAACACAACGGTATTACCTGACATTGTAGATCAGGATCTAAACGTGTACAGGTTACAGGGTCTAACACAACAGTATTACCTGACATTGTAGATCGGAAGGTAAACGTACACAGGTTACAGTGTCTAACACAACAGTATTACCTGACATTGTAGATCAGTAGCTAAACGCACACAGGTTACAGGGTCTAACACAACAGTATTACCTGACATTGTAGATCAGGATCTAAACGTGTACAGGTTACAGGTTCTAACACAACGGTATAACCTGACATTGTAGATCGGAAGGTAAACGTACACAGGTTACAGGGTCTAACACAACGGTATCACCTGACATTGTAGATCAGTAGCTTAACGTACACAGGTTACAGGGTCTTACACAACGGTATTACCTGACATTGTAGATCGGAAGGTAAACGTACACAGGTTACAGGGTCTAACACAACAGTATTACCTGACATTGTAGATCAGGATCTAAACGTATACAGGTTACAGGGTCTAACACAACGGTATTACCTGGTATTGTAGATCAGTAGCTAAACTTACATCGGGTTACAGGATCTTACACAACGGCATTACCTGACATTGTAGATCAGTAGCTAAACTTACATCGGGTTACAGGATCTAACACAACGGTATTACCTGACATTGTAGATCAGTAGCTAAACTTACATCGGGTTACAGGATCTTACACAACGGTATTACCTGACATTGTAGATCAGTAGCTAAACTTACATCGGGTTACAGGATCTTACACAACGGTTTTACCTGGCATTGTAGATCAGTAGCTAAACTTACATCGGGTTACAGGATCTTACACAACAGTATTACCTGACATTGTAGATCAGGATCAAAACGTATACAGGCTACAGGGTTTAACACAACAGTATTACCTGACATTGTAGATCGGAGGGTAAACGTATACAGGCTACAGGGTCTAACACAACCAGTATTACCTGACATTGTAGATCAGGATCTAAACGTATACAGGCTACATTGTCTAACACAACAGTATTACCTGACATTGTAGATCGGTAGCTAAATGTACACAGGTTACAGTGTCTAACACAACAGTATTACCTGACATTGTAGATCAGGATCTAAACGTATACAGGCTACATTGTCTAACACAACAGTATTACCTGACATTGTAGATCGGAAGCTAAATGTACACAGGTTACAGTGTCTAACACAACAGTTTTACCTGACATTGTAGATGAGGATCAAAACGTATACAGGCTAGAGGGTCTAACACAACAGTATTACCTGACATTGTAGATCGTAAGGTAAACGTACACAGGTTACAGGGTCTAACACAACGGTATCACCTGACATTGTAGATCAGGATCTAATCGTACACGGGTTACAGGGTCTAACACAACGGTATCACCTGACATTGTAGATCAGGATCTAAACGTGTACAGGTTACAGGGTCTAACACAACAGTATTACCTGACATTGTAGATCAGGATCTAAACGTGTACAGGTTACAGGGTCTAACACAACAGTATTACGTGACATTGTAGATCAGGATCTAAACGTGTACAGGTTACAGGGTCTAACACAATGATATTACCTGACATTGTAGATCGGAAGGTAAACGTACACAGGTTACAGGGTCTAACACAACGGTATCACCTGACAATGTAGATCAGTAGCTAGACGTACACAGGTTACAGGGTCTAACACAACAGTATTACCTGTCATTGTAGATCAGGATCTAAACGTGTACAGGTTACAGGGTCTAACACAACGGTATTACCTGACATTGTAGATCAGGATCTAAACGTGTACAGGTTACAGGGTCTAACACAACAGTATTACCTGACATTGTAGATCGGAAGGTAAACGTACACAGGTTACAGGGTCTAACACAACAGTATTACCTGACATTGTAGATCAGGATCTAAACGTGTACAGGTTACAGGGTCTAACACAACGGTATTACCTGACATTGTAGATCGGAAGGTAAACGTACACAGGTTACAGGGTCTAACACAACGGTATCACCTGACATTGTAGATCAGTAGCTAAACGTACACAGGTTACAGGGTCTAACACAACGGTATTACCTGACATTGTAGATCGGAAGGTAAACGTACACAGGTTACAGGGTCTAACACAACGGTATTACCTGACATTGTAGATCGGAAGGTAAACGTACACAGGTTACAGGGTCTAACACAACGGTATTACCTGACATTGTAGATCCGTAGCTAAACTTACATCGGGTTACAGGATCTAACACAACGGTATTACCTGACATTGTAGATCAGTAGCTAAACTTACATCGGGTTACAGGATCTTACACAACGGTATTACCTGACATTGTAGATCAGTAGCTAAACTTTCATCGGGTTACAGGATCTTACACAACGGTATTACCTGACATTGTAGATCAGTAGCTAAACTTACATCGGGTTACAGGATCTTACACAACGGTATTACCTGACATTGTAGATCAGTAGCTAAACTTACATCGGGTTACAGGATCTTACACAACAGTATTACCTGACATTGTAGATCAGTAGCTAAACTTACATCGGGTTACAGGATCTTACACAACGGTATTACCTGACATTGTAGATCAGTAGCTAAACTTACATCGGGTTACAGGATCTAACACAACGGTATTACCTGACATTGTAGATCGGAAGGAACACGTACACGGGTCACAAGGTCTAATACAACGGTAATCCCTGATATTGTAGATCTTGTTGAGCAGTACACGGAAAGTGAAAGTAAAACGAGGAAAGACTTACGATCGATGCGATGTATTATTGACGACGGCAACACGTGTTGAAAAATGATATCATCATTGAATACTGCAGAAGACGCCGTGACTCTCAAGCCTAGAGCTGAATACGACCTAATCAATACTCACTGCTACAGCTGTTGTGTGTAGTAAAGACACAGTAAACGTCACATTGTACACACATCTTGACATATTGTAAGACTCACGCTACACATGCTGGACAGGTTATGCAGTGCCCATCTTTAGTGACTATGGTTGTATGGTTGGTTTGTTGTTTTACGCCGCACTCAGCAATATTCCAGCTATATGACGGCGGTCTGTAAATAATCGAATCTGGACCAGACAATCACGATTAATATCATGAGCATCGATTCACGCAATTGGGATCGATGACATGCATCAACCAAGTCAGCGATCCTGACCACCCGTTGTGACTGTGAGTGAGAAGGAGATGATAACATCAATACATCGCAGTATGTCGGGAAAGTGTAACTATGCAAGGCTTCTATTGTTGAACGGCTTATTTTTGCATCCAGGAAGATTTGTTTTTATTTGTTTTTAACGCCGCACTAAGCAATATTACAACTATATGACGGCGGTCTGTAATTAATCGAGTCTGAACCAGACTATCCAGTGTTTAAAATCATGCACATCGATCCACGTAATTGGGAAACGATGACATGCATCAACCAAGTTAGCGAGCCTGACCACCCGATCCCGTTAGTCGCCTATTACAAGTATAGTTGACTTTTACGGCAAGCATTGGTTGCTGAAGACCTACCGCGGGTCTTCAGGGTCAATATGTACAAGTATCAGTTCAGATCACACACTTGATGAGGGGAATCAACAGGTAATGCTGCCTATCAAAGCTATCAGTTGAACTCGACCTTGTCCAGGTGCGTTACTCTTGGTGGCTTAGCGCGTTATCTCTTGGTGATGTGCTGAAGGCCTGTTTTCACCACAGCGACGGTATCATGACAACACGACATTTAGGATTGGCAAAACGTACTGCACACACAACCACACCACATTTGTTCAGGAGTGGACCGACGGTCAAAGCTACTGATTAAATTGTTGGCTCGTCAAACCCAAGACCGGGTTTGAGTCTCTTCACAGGTAAATATGCGAAGTCTTTTCTTGGTACTCCCGCTGGAATATGGCTGGAATTTAGTAAAAGGGGCGTCGAACAATACTTTCATGTTTGTTTCATTTTTTTCAGCTGCATTGTGATGTTTTCTTGCATTGTATTGAGTACTTCGTATTGGTGTGTTATAGTACTGTCTCACCTTTGCTGGTCAGCTTTATAGATCTATTATTATTTATCTTAGTGTCATTTTGTATCAATCAAAATAGGACTGATATGAATTTTTACCTATTTTAATCTTTCAATGCGTTTCAATGTGTTTCGCTTCTTTCAATTCTGTTCATAATAGCTGACATTGCGACGTGGATGTACGTGTGTGTGTTTGTGTGGCTGCTTGTACTAGTCCGGACTGATGCCGATTTATAATGCTAGCTCACTGAGATACCATGCCGCAGTTTAACATGAATACCCCACTCAGACACAGTATACTGACTCCGAGCCGACCAGTCCTTGTTTTAGTCCCTCAATGCTGAGCGCCAGACAGGGTAACAACAAGTACCATCTTTTAACGTCTTTTGATATATTATCAAATCCCGGACCTTCCGCCCTCCGGGCGGACGCTCTACCACTAGACCACGGAGGCGGTCTCTAGTCCAGTGACCCACGGTAACGAGACCGTTGACATATAAATTGATGTAAGTGTGTCATTACTTGTGTAACGAGGAAGGACAATATCACGACAGCGAGTTACAGTGATCCTGTTAAGCCATGATACGACACATGTCAGTGAGTGAGTGAGTGAGGTTTTACGCCGCTTCTAGCAATATTCCAGCAATATCACGGCGGGGGACACCAGAAATGGGCTTCACACATTGTACCATGTCGGGAATCGAACCCGGGTCATCGGCGTGACGAGCGAACGCTTTAACCACTAGGCTACCCGAATGTCAATGACCGTTCATGTCGAGGCCGTGTGTAGTCGCGTCGTATCGCACCCATGTGTAGCGTAATATAGTTTTGCCCTGAACTATTATGGTTAAAGCGCGATGACGCTAGCGTCAGAGTGCTTTGACGTTAACGTGTAAACATAGCCGACGTTCGGTGTCGCTGGTTATATTGTGAGTTGAGGTTCTGTTGTACAAGTTGCAACTGTGTTTTCATCACTAATGAACTTCAGCAACTGCAAGCCATGAAATAGTGTGCTTACCGAGTTGGTTGCGCTACATGTAACCCTTACCGACGTGAATCGTAGGACGAACATGGCGGTTGAAGAGCAACAGCGGATGGTCTGTTTGGCTGCTGAATGTTGTTAAATGCCATCCTCTGAGAAACTTTTCAAGAATTGCTGATTCCTTTGTTTCCTAGAGACATACATAATTCGTTGAGAACCAACGCCTCCCTCGGACAATATTGTGACTACTGTATGACACAGTGGTTTGAATATGTTTAGTATAAGCCAGGGGGCACGGGTGGCCTAGTCGTCTAAGGCGCCGCAATTCGCTGTGCAGAGTTGCGTCCCTTGGGAATGCCAGAAACCTATGATTGTGGGTTCGAATCCCGGTTCGCCCCGATTTTGTTTCTAGGTTTGTCAGCACCATACCCGTGCTCGTGGGTTTCACCGAAGTGGTAAACGTCTGAGACCTGCATCACTTCGGGCTTTCCTCCCACATTAAGCTGACACGCCGTGATATAACTGGAATACTGTTAAAAGCGGCGTTAAACACAACTCACTCACTCACTCACTAGTATAAGCCTGTGGCATGAGAGATGGTTGACAATCATCTTTCCATATTTCTAATGATAATCAAATATTCTACAAGTTTAAAGAATGTATTTCACCGAAAACCGATTTGGATGCGCCATCTTGTAACGGCACTAATGAAAGCACGATGATATCAAGGATACGTTAGATCACGGGGAGGTACTTTGAACAGCGTCATAACGTCAGCCCATTATGACGTATCATTATCGCAGGATATAGTACAGTACCTCAGTCGGCGATTTGATTTTATACGGAAGCATCTCAGAAAGTCGTATCGTGTTGTGTTGTGGCGTCGTGTTGTCGTGTCGACAGTGTGAAATCGTGCCGTATGGTGTTGCGCTGTTATGTCGAAATCCTGTTTTCTACCTACATTGTGGCTACGGAGTGACTCGACGGCAACACGAAGTGTCATATGATCACATATCGCCCTCATTATTAGCACAATAGATACATATACACATGTACGCTTCGTCAAGCATGTTTCCTCGGCTGTTGTTGTTGGCGGTCATTGTGAGTGGTGAGCGTGATTGACTTTATATTGTTGTTTATTTGTTTGTTGTTTAACGCCGCACTCAGCAATAATACAGCTGTATGACGATGGTCTGTGAAATAATCGAGTCTGGACCAGACAATCCAGTGATTGACATCATGAGCATCGATAATCACAACTGTTATACGATGGCATGCATCAACCAAGTCAGCGAGCCTGACCACCCGATCCCGTTAGTCGCCTCTTACCACAAGCATAATCGCCTTTTACGACAAGAACGGGTTGCTAAAGACCTATTCTACCGCGGACCTTCACAGGTCTTTTGACTCTATGTACATCTTTCGTGTCATTAAGATTTTGTTTCAGATTGTTTATAGTTATTAACGCAAAATATTTTGTTTAAGGAACGATATGGCCAAATCAATATGGTGTATTATATATAATATATAAGAGAATGATACGTTCAGTTATATCGCGGCGTGTCCGAAGTGTTTCAGGACGTTTACACCTTTGGTGATGCCCTGGAACACCGGGAGACCAAGAAAAGTAAACGAGCCAAATCTGGGATTCAAACCCACGATCATAGGTTCCTGACACGCCTAAGGGGCGCAACTCTGCATTGGCATGTCATCCTGCGATGCAGTGAAGGGACGAGGAATAATTTTAACATTAATCCTGTGTTGCCATGGGCTACATATAAACATATTGCCAGATAAAGTCAGGATTTTTACTTTAAATTCATTACTTTTTGGAATACTTGGGATTGTGGCTCTTTATTGAGGATATGATCAAATATGCATTCTTTTCTGAAATATTATAATTATCTTAGTTGTTCATGCAGCCAGTGGGATCAAATGATATAGTCGGGAATCAACATTCAATTCCTGTGCTTCTTGTAGAAGGTAAAATTTGAGTGAGTGAGTGGTTTTAAAGCCGCTTTGAACAGTATGCAGTGAGGCCACGGCGTGTCGGCTTTATGTGGGAGGAAAGCCCGAAGAGATGCAGGTCTCAGACGTTTAGCACTTTTGTGAAACCCAAAAGTACGGTACTACATAGAAACATGATCGGGGCGAAAATTATAGGTTTCTGGTTTGCCAAAGATTATAGGTGTCTGGCGTGCCAAAGGAACGCAACTCTGCAAAGCGAAAGGTGAAATTTGAATATTGTTCTACGATACAATAGTTAAATATTTAGTATTTACCCTTGAAGTCTTATCAAAGTATGTATGTGAACTTTCAACAGTTCACGGGGACACGGGTGGCCCAGTCGTCTAAGGCGCCACGATTCGCTGTGCAGAGTTGCGTCCCTTGGGCACGCCAGAAACCTATGATTGTGGGTTCGAATCCCGGTTCGCCCCGATTATGTTTCTAGGTTTGTCAGCACCATACCCGTGCTCGTGGGTTTCACCGAAGTGGTAAACGTCTGAGACCTGCATCACGTCGGGCTTTCCTCCCACATTAAACTGACACGCCGTGATATAACTGGAATACTGTTAAAAGCGGCATTAAACCCAACTCACTCACTCCAACATTTCAGAGTAAAATCTTTGATTTCATATATAGCCGTTGATGGTTCCCTATCAGACATGTTAGGATAATCGTTCAGATGATATCATGTTCGTTTGTTGCAGTCATCGCTGCCGAGTACTGTAGGTTTGAAAAAAGTAAAAGACACGCGAAGTACAAGCGATGTCCTCATGGGTGTTGCACTGGCGACTGTTGTGATGAACCTGTCGAGGAAGAGGAAACAAGGTATGTTTCTCCTCCGAGTTCCGAGGACCGCCTCCGTGGTCTTGTGGTAGAGCGTCCGCCCGGAGAGCGGAAGGTCCAGGGTTCGATCCCGGGCCGCGTCATACCAAAAGACGTTAAAAGATTGTACTTGTTGTTACCCTGTCTGGCGCTCGGCATTAAGGGGCTAAAAAACAAGGACTGGTCGGCTCCGAGTCAGTATACTGTGTCTGAGTGGGGTATTCATGTTAAACTGCGGCATGGTATCTCAGTGAGCTAGCACTATAAATCGGCATCAGTCCGGACTAGTACAAGCAGCTACAAACACACATACACGTGCATGCACGTCGCTATATAAGTGCAATAATCTTGGACGCGACGTTAAACACATTTCACCTCACCTCACCGAGTTCCGAGATTCATTAAGTAAGGCTGATTGACTTAAGCTATTGATTTTGTTAGATGTTAATTTTTAGTGTTAATTAAAAACAGGAATCCCCTCCCTCATGCCTCTCCCCTCCCAAGAATTTCAGATGCCTATTTCACACGTACATAAACGAATACGCATAATTTGAATTGATAAACAATATCAAGAACGAAAATGAACAAATTACCGACAATCTAATTCTGTAATTCCACATTAACTTTTCAATCCACCTCTACAATAACCAGTCTTCCCATCCTGCCAGCCCAAGCCTTTTGTCATTGGAGAGACTGTAGTGCACGTGCTGCACGAGATTTACGTGGTTGAAATGTGACATGACACACGTGGAGGTGCTGTAGGTCAGCGGAAGCTTTGCTGCTGACACTCGCTTCGTCTTTCGAAAAAAACAACCATCCAGAAAAATGAAAAACAACAACATTGGTATCCCCGGCCACTCTTTTGTAGTCTGGCGATTTGCGCTCTCTGGCAATCAAATTCGTGAGAGTTCTTTTCAAACTGTTCAAAGGGAACGGGTGGCCCAGTCGTCTTAGGCGCCACGATTCGCTGTGCAGAGTTGCGTCCCTTGGGCACGCCAGAAACCTATGATTGTGGGTTCGAATCCCGGTTCGCCCCGATTATGTTTCTAGGTTTGTCAGCACCATACCCGTGCTCGTGGGTTTCACCGAAGTGGTAAACGTCTGAGACCTGCATCACTTCGGGCTTTCCTCCCACATTAAGCTGACACGCCGCGATATAACTGGAATACCGTTACAAGTGGCGTTAAACCCAACTCACTCACTCACTCAAACTGTTCAATCCACGTCTGTCTTACCGCGCCTGAATATCAAATTTCCCAAGTCCCTTCTCCCTGACAAGCGGCTGGCATATGGTTGATGTTTATTTGTTTACTGAACCATGGTGGGATATCGAACAGTCTTTTCCTTGCTCAGTGTCGATTCATATATAAGTGGGTCTGTTAGTGGGATGCGGTGTTATTTTATCAAACAAAATATATTGTCCCCGAACAAATCTACAAAAAAAAGCTTCAGACTGTTGAAAAAGAGAAAGAAATTGCCAGCAACAAACATAACAGCGTTGCAAGGTGTTATTCTCTCAACAATTCAGGCTCATGGTTTTGAATAAAAAATATCTGGTTTCGTAGTTGTAACTAAATAAATAGCTCATCTCGATACACAATCACCATACCACCACCACCCCTTCCCATGAATATCGACCCGTGAAGATCCGGGGTAGAATAGATCTTCAGCAACCAATGCTTGCCTTAACAGGCGACTATATGGTTGTCGTAGGAGGTGACTCACGAGATCAGGTTGTCAGCCTCACTAACTTCGTTGATGCATGTCATCGTATCCGAATTGCGTGGATGGATGCTCATGATGTCAATCACTGGATTGTCTGGTCCAGACTCGATTATTTACAGACCGCCGTCATACAGCTGGAATATTGCTGAGTGCGGCGTTAAACAACAAACCAACCAACGAACCAGCCCAGGAATATCAAATTGCGCGGGCCCTAATTAAGTTGCAACCTGTTCATTTCATCACCATATAAGATGTTTTGGAATTTGAGTATTTAACCTTGCATAGTAACTTTACTTGAGGGGCCATATGTTAGTCTACTCTGTCATAATCCTCGGTACAAAAACCATACTTGTCCTCGTATGTTTCACAAGCGTGGTAAAGATCTACGACCTGTATTACTTCAGGACGTCCCTATGAGCTAACACGCCGTGATACTGAACCATTGTTTGTTTCCTTTCCCGTCCAAGTGTCGGTCTCTACATTGGTGTTCCGGTGGTGTCGGCGATAGTGCTCGCCGTCATCTCCTATCTATGCCCATGCTGCAGCGGTGGTGATGGCGGAATCGAGATTGACATGTAGGTCTTCGTGAAGGTACGTATTTTGAACTACCGGAATAACAAGACAACACGTCTTATCTTCAGTTCGGATCTATTTATGTTCCCAGATATAAGTCCTCACCAACTGAGGAGATAATATATACCACTCAAAAGTATTTAAGGACCACCCCATTCTTTCATATCGCTTAGCTATAAGCCATGACAGATGAACTATAACAATATAAAAGACGCCGGTGGTCCTTAACTTGTTTTGCGTTGTATAAATATCATAAAGGCTCTACACAGACTATCAAAGAACGTTATAAAACAAAGCCTAAGATTGGTTGGATCGGGTTGTCAGGCTCGGTTGATGCATGTCATCGATCCCAATTGTGTGGATAGATGCTCATGATGTCAATCACTGGATTGTCGGTCCAGACTATTATTTACCGACCTCTGTCATATAGCTGGAATATTGATAAGTGCGGCGTAAAACAACAAACAAAACAAAAAAACTGATTATGTATTTCAGACTGCTCTGAGGTGTGACGAATTCCGTGCTGTGTGTACAACCCACGACAAGCCGCTTACCGCCAATGCGTGATATACTACTCAAAATAATTTACAGAACACCCGATTCCTTCATTACGTTTTGTTCCTAACTACATGTGCATACGGGAACAATCATTTCATATCGTTCGGGCAATAAACTGATACCGCCACTGGAGAAAGTGGTTGTCGGATATCTCAAATGGTCAAGCGCAAATCCATAGCACGAGGTGAGGATCGCCGCGGCGGTACATCATGGCAAGAAGATACTCTATGACGTTTGTTAGAAACACTGGACTCTTTTAATTTCCTTGATCTTTTTGTTTGTTCCCAGATCATTCCGACACATTTGTCATGTTTACTTCCTTGTTTATTGAGAAACGCTGAGTGTTTATTACAAGCGGTTGATCAGTGGTTTGAAAATGGTCGATGTCTGATTTCTTTTCAAGTATTCCTACTCCTCATTTTTGTCTGATTTGTATCTTCATTAAATGAAATCCTCACACGTTAGTAGAACGTTCGTCTTCAATTTGGCAGTATCAAATACTACTTACAAATTTCTAGTTTTCGACGTCTCTAACGTTGCATCTTCTTTGAATTATAGCATGTTGTTCTTAAAAAAAACTTCACTGTTGAACCAAGGCGGACTTAACCTTGTTAAGGCGGATTGAACCTAATCGTATTTTGGACAGGCAAAACAGTGATTGATAGTATGAGCAGCGTTACTGCACCCACGCCACAAAACGATGACGAGTTTTCGATTATTGATTAGGACAAATCATTTTATCAGAATAGACCCGTTTGGAGTCAGGACATTATAAGTCCCAAGGTGCCCGTTCCACCAAGCGACCTTAGCGCTACGACTGTAGTAAATCTAGGTTAAAGTATGTGAGTTACCATCGTCATAGCGCCGCAATCGCTTTGGGAAACGGGGCTTTGTACACAACCTTTGTCACTGTATGGCCACTCTGTATGTGTGGCACTGTGCCCTGATTTACGAGGAGCGTTGCTCATGGTGTTGACCACTGGTCTCTGTCTGTTTCCATGCTATTGTGGCGTATTGCCGTGAGTTATTGCTGGGACGTGACATATCACACCCACCCTCTCACTATATCGGGGTGTTCTCTTGGAATTTCCCTTAAGACAAATCATGTTCTCAACCTTTCGATACGAAAGGAATTCCTTTACCAAAATATGGAGAGAATTTTGAAGAGTCTATCCCCTACCGTTATATTGATAAAACATTGCTACAAATGACACAAGTAGAGACCGCTGCAGTGCATCAATTGTTCCCCGACTTATAATGTCATATGCAGAGGAAGACAGCAATGGGAGGAGAGGATTGATTTAAAGTTCAAATCGGTTGTTATTAATGTAGTTATCTTTGGAAAGCACAATAAAAGAAACTGTCTTGAAGTGGTCAGCACAAGGTTGGTTGGTTTGTTGTTTGACGCCGCACTCAGCAATACTCCAGCTATATGACGGCGATCTGTAAATAATCGAGCCTGGACCAGACAATCCAGTGATTAATATCATGAGCATCGATCCACGCAATTGGGATCGATGACATGCATCAACCAAGTCAACGGTCTGACCACCCGATCCCGTTAGTCGCCTTTTACGACAAGCATGGGTTGCTGAAGACCTATTCTACCCCGGAATCTTCACGGGTCCAGCACAAGGAAAACCAAGGCAAGAGAACATATAATTCGGCCTGTCTGGCACAACTTGGTATATGCCCACTATTAGTACCATAAATATAAAAAAAATAATTGATTACATGTCCTTTTAGATAACACAACAAATGTCATTCTTAAACATGCTTTGGCAGCAAATATCAATCTTTCTGGACAAAATGTTGGCTGGGTTGAATAAAACAAACTTATGAAATAGTAAACACAAATAAGTGTTGTGAAACCACTGTAAATTATACTTCAGTCCAAATGTAAGAATGTGTTCACGCATTCATTAAGGGACTCCCATTTATTCAACAGCAAGTTAAGATCATACATGTTGGTCAAGTCAGCTATAAATATTGAGAATTATCTTACATATTTAAAAAAAAAAAAGCTCATAGGTCACTTTTCTCAAAACTTCGTTTAAGTTATCACAAATTAAAAACTTAAACTGGTAGATATACAAAAACACCAACCCCATTGGAACAACGTCTTTGTGAAACATGTGATGTCTTAGAAGATGCGCAACATTATGTACTGTCTTGTATAAAATACGACCAAGAAAGAGAATCACAAATAATTCCCAATCATGATAAAGAATTTGGTACACTCTGTTAAAGGGAGCCCTTCTTAATAATGTTAACAACAGTTATCTAGAAACAATTTCCAAGATCTGTTATCATATCTACAAGTATAAACAAATTCCTTGTATGTACAACATTACCATAGGCTTGTTCAATTCTCATATGTGGATCGATGCTCATGATGTCAATTACTGGATTGTCTGGTCCAGACTCGATTATTCTACGGACTGCCGTCATATAGCTGGAATATTGCTGAGTGCGGCGTTAATCCACAGACAGACAAACAATTCTCATATTGTTTCCATATCACTATAATGCACTTGTTTTAAAATAAAAAATTGTTACCTCCTTTGTATGTTGAATGTACCTTTGTGTTTTGCACTTATTGTGCATAGATTTTGTAGTCTGTAACAGTGTAATATTGCCATTGTTTCGTCATGGAATTTTACGCAATACATATCTCATCTTAAACATATTTGTTGTATAATAGTTTGTTACAGTTGTGTACGGGGCACGGTTGGCCTAATCGCATAAGGCACTGCACCTCGCTATGCACGCCAGAAACCTATTACAGTGTGTTCAGATCCCGGTTCGTCCAGATTATGTTATCAGCACTACACCCGTGCTCGTGGGTTTCACCAAATTGGTGAACGCCTAACACGTGCATCCTCCTACATCAAGCTGACATGCCGTGATATAACTGGAATACTGTTAAAAGCCTCGTTACACCCAACTCACTCTCTCATTACTCTTGTGTTCGGTTCCTTCTGGTTAACTGGGTTTGTGTAGTTACTTCCGGTTAAGATTGAAGTATGTTTAGAAGAATATTACTATGTGCAACCCAAACATCGTGCATTTATCATGCAACCGTATTACTTTTTAGGAACATGATGCAAACTACAAACCAACCTGGTGTTAATTCGTGTTGAACAATAAGTTGCAATGGCAGTGTGAAGGGAGAACGTTTGAGTGCGCGTTTCATGCTTGACCTGAATTCCTCCTTGGAACCTTCATTGCTGGCTGCCTCAATAACATACGATACATTGCCTAGGAAGTGCGCAGTAGAGCTATTCGGGTAAGGAAGATAAACACTCACTTTCAGTGAATGAGATACGATCTACATCATTGCAAAGTCATTGCGTGATGAAGCTCCATACCACGCCTTTAGCTAAAGGAGATAATCGCTCAATGCGCAGGTCTATTCTTACAAAATACAGACCGGTTAACTTTAGCGAAAGGCGAAATATTTCCCCTAAACATTTTTAGCTCTTTTAAAAACACAATGAACAAATTGCATGGATTATCTACATTACGAAACATCTCTAATTCCCAGAATGTGACAGGCGATTGGTTAAAACATATCCAGATGAAGTTACTCTCATTTCATTTTAATAAACTTCAGTCAAAAACAAACAAATAAAGATATTTTACATGCGCTTCAATATATGCATCCTCGCATGCGATAATGAATATTTGTACGCTTTTATATGAGAGAGAGAGAGAGAGAGAGAGAGAGAGAGAGAGAGAGAGAGAGAGAGAGAGAAAATCATATAGCAAATATTCATTAAATAGCACACCTGGATATTGGAGAAGGAACGTATAGGGGTTCCAGCACTGACATCTTCAGAGCTCAGTTGACAAACCTTTGTCTTCGGGTTCAAGTTTACAGACAAACATTTTGGCGAGTACTGACAAATTCTGTGAAAATTTGTCAGTGTTTCAACTTTCAAGAAGCCATAGCAATGTCCATGAAGGGTGTTGTGGTATGATCCAGCAAGTTTCAGTCTAAAGGTTGTTGCCGTTACATTGGTTGGTTGGTTTGTTGGTTGTTTAACGCCGCACTCAGCAATATTCCCGGTACATGACGGAGGTCTGTAAATAACCGAGTCTGGACCAGACAATCCAGTGATTGATATCATGAGCATCGATCCACGCAATTGGGATCGATGACATCAATCAACCAAGTCAGCGAGCCTGACCACCCGATTCCGTCAGTCGCCTTTTACGACAAGCATAGTCAACTTTTACGGCAAGCATGGGTCGCTGAAGACCTATTCTAACCCGGATCTGCACGGGACATAGAACTGAAGGGTCATGGCAGGACTTGGATGTTGTGATTCCTGAAAAAGACTGTCGGTCTTGCCGTGTTCGCTTCTTGCATAATGGGAAGGACGTGTGGCCGAATAGTCTCATCCGTGTTACGTTGTGGCGTTCTCCATTCTCCAGAACGTGCACCAAGTCTGTCCTAGCAGTGTAGCATGCTACTACCATCTAATCTGTCCACTTCCTATGCAGTTGTGTGCATAATGTCTACCATCCATACAGCAAAGCATAAAACGTGACTCGTCACTAAACGAGACTTGTCTCCATCGCAGTTGTGGCACAACTGTGTGACCTTGACACATTGCCGTCACAGCTGACGATGCAGGTCCGTCAGAATGACGCCTCGATTTTGTCGTCTTGCTCGAATACCTTCAGCGCGTAAACTGTTCTTCACTGTCTTATGCAGTCATGGCATTGTCGTAGTTGTAGAGGTTTCCGAGGCGGTTCTTTCACGTCAGTACGAATCTGACCTGAGCTGTAGAAGTTACACGTGGCCAATCTGGGAAAGGTCCCGTGTTCTCCCGTGTCTGATAACGGTTGCACAGTATTGTAATGGTGCTTGGTGCAACCTGGCAAAACCTGGCTACAGCTGAAGATGTTTTTCCTGTTTGCAGTTGGCCGATGGCGTTGTTGCGCAAGTCATGGCATGTTTTTGCTGTGATGGCATGCAAATGAAAACCCCATCGTTTTTTATAGGCCAACATTTGATGCTGCAAGTGCGTGTCATGTTGGTGTGTTTCGGCGATTTTTCTAAAAATAGATCAAAGTGATGTTGGAAATGTGATAATCGGGTTCCCAACCCTCTGAATGATGACGTCACAACATGGCGGTTTTAACCAGGGTTTTGTGGTGTATTGTTACCTACTGCAAGCGCTTATGGTCAAAGGGACTCAACGATATAACGTTAGCGGCTACGAAGGTAAACACTGGCAGTGAGCGGGGAAATTCTGGTAAGTAATTGATTCTTTTGTACATGTCACTAGGATACCTGGCAAGGTTGCGAGGATGTAACCGATTGTAGGGAGGTTAGTCCGAGCGTGGGCCTCGAATAAACGAGTTGTGTTACGATATTTCGGTATTCTGATGCTGGTCGTTATTTTGTGCGTCCTGTCAACCATAGCAAACATGGGGACACGGGTAGCCCAGT